ATTAGTATGACTGCGAAACAAAGGTTAACTCTAAAACAACTTTTATAAATCTTGTGTTATTTGTATAGTATATTAGAACTACAATGTGGGTTTCCATTTCATTTCGAATACATATATCTCATCTGTTTTGTTTTTTAACTAAACAAAAAAACACTTTTGTTCTGTTTCAGTATACTTTAATATTTATCATTAGATTTTACACAAATTGTTATACAAATATATCTTGCTAAAATTATAAATGTGAAAGTTTAGATGAAGGGATGTTAGAGTTTGTAGCCTAAACGGCTTAACGGATCTTGATGAAATTTGGCATAGAGTAGAGGATAGTCTGGAAGAACACATAGGCCACTAACTTTTTTTTTGTGCTCCACGCGGACGGAGTCGCAGGCGAAAGTAACATATAATTATAATGAATGTTAATTTTTAAAGTTCAAACAGTCAAGTTTTGAACGTCTAAGTTTAAAAGTAATATCATGTTTGAACTACGCAGAATTCCTCACAGCCGGTTTACGCCTTAACGCCTCAGGGTTGACTTTGTACCACAATATCCCGCTATATTTGAATGGCACCGCCACACCGTTGCCTCCGGCATATGTCTGCGTAGTCTAAAATATTATACAGTGCAAAGTCCATCGTAGTATGAAAATTCTCTTTTAACTTTTATACGAACTTTCGCACTTTTGAAGATTATGTTTACTACTAGTTTTCGCCAGCGACTCCATCCGCGTGGAATTAAATAAAACAAAAGTGAGAAGTCTATGTGTTCTTCCAGACTATCCTCCACAACTATGCTTAAATTTCATCGAGATCAGTTTAGGCTACATACAAACAACCATCCATCTAAACTTTCACATTTATAATATTAGTAAGATTTTTATTATTTAAACATTTTTCTAAGATCATATGTAGCATTATTGAAAACCTTGGATACCATGACGTAGATACTGGTAGCTTAGGTTCAAGCTTTCGTTACTATGTCGTAGACCCACGTAGAAGTCTACAGTAACATTGTCGTAAATGCAATTGCAAGTTGCAACACGGAACTTAACTGTCATTATTGAAGCTATTCGTAGCAATAATTACAATTTATAGCATCAGAATAATCTTTCGTAGCCCTGATGTAGACAAACGTAGCACATGTGAACTTTGGTTACGATGGCGTAGATGCGTGTAGCACTATTCGATACTGCGATTGTGATGGCGTAGATACTCGTAGAACGTAGTAAAATAACAACAAAAGTAAACTATCATTAACGTGAAGGCTTTTGACAATATATTATTGTAATAGGCACTCATAGCACTACACGATAGTACCTATTATTAAAGAAAAAATCAAGCTTTTACAGATGTCAAATGCTGTTTACCATATTCTGTTTGTACCACAAAAATGTTTGCTATAAAACTAAATATGTTGCAAAAAATCACAGGTGATCGCAAACAGCCGGTGTGAAATTAATAATTGATGTACAATAGTGACCTCTGTCGACAGAACGTGTAAACTTTCAACAAAAGCTTCATATAAACCATCATATATCTTCATATCTGATTAAATTTTATTGTTGATTAAATACAAAATTTCTGTTTACATTTAAAATTATTTTTAAATCTCAACAAATTGAGATATAGGAAAATTGTAAAATTCTGAAAAATGTTAACTGAATTCAATTAAAATATTAAATTATGTTTTAGTACAATCGTAAGTTTTATTGAATTCATAACACTTTTAAGGTAAAAATAGTAATAAATAAGTTTTTGTCTGGAATAATTCCAGTGTTACGTCTAAATTAGTCAATAAAGGAGTATAAAAGATAATCATTCTTTTTTTATTTATAAAAGATATTTTAAAGATATGAAAAAAAAGAATTGGAGGTGCCGAGTATCGATCCCGGTACTTCTCGTATGCTAAACGAGCGCTCTACCATTTGAGCTACACCCCCTGTGCTTAAAGCTCTCAATATCGCCACTGTTCCTGCAGGATATCGATTTTTACTAACGTGGGCCTTCAAAACGTATTGTCATCCCGTTCATTTTCTTTGGAAAGAACAGAGATAGTGATATCATTATTACAAGTGCGACGACAGTACGCAGCAGCAGCGTATATATCCTGGGAGTCGATCAAGGGTATTTGCGAGACAGTTCAGGGAGGTATTCGTAACGCCATCGACTTTTGTATGAGATTCCTTGACGTATGTTACGCTCCGTACGCTATAATAATAATACATATTTTGTCGATGACGTTACGAAAACTTTCTCACAAAAAATATTTCTATTTCTATTTTTCTTCTTATTATTTATTGTTAGTAATCCTAAATAAATAACTGCGCTTCATTATTTTCCTGATTTACAGCATATTGAATAATTACTATTGATGGATTAATAAATACTTGCAAAAGTTATTTTTTTTTGTATTTAGTGTAGTTTATGCTTGCTACAGACGTTCAGTTATAACTAAAGAGTTAAACGGATCAGGTAAAACGTTCCGTTTTGCCTACGCATACACTGATCAGTTATAAATTTCAGAGCTTCGTATAGCGGACTTTATGAACCTTACAATAGAAGGTTCTTATTCATAGTACCACAGTAAACTTGATAGATGGCGGTAATAAATAAATTTGCAAATCGATACATGTGGCAATTCTCGCAACAATACATGGGAAGTAACTAAATATTATTTAAGGCCTCATCCGTCGCCACAGATAACTATTGTGTTTAGTATAAGTCCAAATATTGTTAGTTACTTAACTTAAAATATAAATAAAAATAATATGATAAAAGAGAATACAAGTAATAAAGTAAATAACACAAAAAATAACTCATTAATGTAACAAAGATTACGCAACAAAAAAAGACAAACTGCAAAAAAGAGTACGTACCAAAAGAGTCTGTATATGTTAAATTAAAAAAAAAACTAATTATTATCAGAAAAAACTTCATTTTAATAATACCTGAATGTCTTCACAAGTTTATAAGCAGAGTGTTAATTAAACTAAGTACTGTAGACACTACCTAAGTATTACAAAAACTTTAACGAGAAAAGTTAAATTAAGGTGCACTTTAGAGAATGTTCCTGAAGTTTCAACGACAACATTTTCGCCTATTTTTTAGGTCAGCAAACGCAACTGGCTGTGATTGTAAAAATGTTTTTAAAGTTTGAGAAATAATAATCACATCTACAGGAAAATCTATGGTAATATCTTACTTGTAACCATCAATTATTACGCAAAACACACATCTGTGTTAGTACCTACACACTTAGCGGTTAGCTGCATGCGACTTTCTGTATACAGTCGCTTGCTACCACTGTTACAAGCGCAACTACTACGCAAAATGTTACTATTTTATTAATGACGCTTTCGCCCGCAACTCCGTTCGCGTTGAATTAAAAAAAACAAAAGTGAATAGCCTATATGTTCTTCTAGACTATCCTATACGTCTGTACCTAATTTCATCGAAACCGTTAAGCCGTTTAGGCTACAAACTCTAACAAACATCCATCCATCTAAACTTTCTCATTTATAATATTACTAGCTGTTGCCCGCGACTTCGTCCGCGTGGTATTAGAAAACATACGAACTATATAAATAACAAAAAGCTACGTATCCCTCGGGATCCGGACATTTCTCGGGGATGAACCTTATCCCATGTGTACTCCAGTTTTAGTTTTATATCCGTGCCAAATTTCAAAAAGATTTGTTGAACCGTTGCAGAATAACCGAGTAAACATTAAAAAAAACTAAATTACTGTCTCGCACGGAAACCGTAACTATTTTCGGGGTAAAAAGTAGCCTATGTGTTCCAGACTATGTTCTACATCTGTGTCGAATTTCATGGGAACCGTTCAGCCGTTTAGGCAACAAACTCTAACAAACATTCATCCATCTATCTAAACTTTCACATTTATAATATTAGTAAGAAGTAAGATAGTATGAAGTATGATTAGCCGTGCGACAGAGTCGAGAAAATGAAAATAGACACTTAACCCAGACGTGTGTATAAAAGTCTATCTATCGAAGGTAGACTACAGTAAAAAAACATATTCATATACCTCCTCTTTTCGTTTTTAAACCTTATGAATTTTTATTTCACAAAGTATTTGAGTTCCATTAAAACATTTTAAATGGATATTTTAGCAATTCAAGCATCATAAAAAGAACCGATGCGAGCCGTTAGTCACGCGTACAACTGTGCTTCGGGAAACACGTAATATTTTACAGAGACGCAATAAATAACACGAATTTCAACGGTAGAGGAGTAAAAATATTGCCTCTTTTCTATAGTACGCTTGTGAGCCAGGTTTACTTCTACAAAAATAAGAAATTTTAAGTTTCTCGTTGCACATAATCACTAAATGGACAAAGGATTAGACGAAGTTGTCATTTTTTTCATGCTTTATTCCACAAGCATAAATAAACTTTATCTATACCTACTAATATTAAAAAGCGGTAGGGTTTATTTGTATTGAAATACTTTAAAAACTACTGTACCGATGTAAAAAATATTTAACCATTAAAAAAGTACGCTATTAGTGAGTAACATAGGCTATATTTAATATTATTTTTTTAATTGCACGAAAACGAAGTCGCGAGCAACAGCTAGTTAATTATGAAGTGTATGTGCTATCACTTTTTAGCTTCATAAATGATAATCCTAATGATAAAAACAATTACTATCGCAAATATGTTTCTAAAATAAATAAAACCCTCATCAAAAACAATAGAACCTTAAAAACGATAAAAAAGCTTCAAATTCGTTAGTAACATTGAGTAATATTTCGCGCATCGCTCGGCAGAATCGTAACAAGACCTTCATCAAGCGCAACAATGGATTTAATTAAATCTGTAAGGCTGTTGTACTGCGCGTGTCGACTAAAATACGTTCGAGCTTTTTTGTGAATTCCTGTTACCCTTCTCTCGATACCTACATTCAAATGGAAAATAAAACAATTCAGATTATCTGAATTTACAGATATTTGTTCGTAGTAAAATATAAAAGAAACGAAATCACAAGAACATTGCTTTTATTATAGTAAGCAAAATAATAATTTTACACAAAGTAAAGCAAATCCTCTAAATCATAGTAACAATTTCTTCTAACAGATCGACGAAGGTAAACTTTTTAACTTTATGCAATATTTTACAAAAGTTCGGATCCGCAACTAACTTACAAACATAAATATCTTTGTTATCTGTGTCACATTCTAAAGTCTTCAATACTTCTTCGACTTGTTTTACATACAGAGATTCTGTTGTTTCTGGTAATATCACAAAATGCCAGGGCAGGCAAATCTTCAAAACATTCCATATAACTGTTTGACTTACCTCTAAGCAAATGTTGGGATCTCTATACGGGATTGGTGGCTCTTCAACCGGGGGCTTGACAACAGGTTCTTTTTCCGGTTCTTTAGGTTTTTCAACCGGTTTCTCACACGGCGGACAAATCATTGCAGCTTGTGAAACAACTATAGAAGGTGCCTTTACATATTGAGATCCGCGCTTTTGAGAGACATCCGATCGTCCGCTCTGGTTGCCAACAGTTTTCCTTATTCTCGTGGTTTTTCTCTTTTTAACATTCTTTTCTTCGGGAACCGATTCCGTGTACATAACCTCTTCAACTGTTGTACCTTCACATATACTGACGACTCTGTGAATTAGTTTATTAATGAATTGCTCAGTGCACTTTAAGGCACACGCTAAACATTCGTCTCTATATTTCTTCTCATTTATTAGATAAGTGACAATATCACCACAATCATCTAAAGAATGACATATTTCTTGTCCAACCGCCATAGATAATGCAGCAATAAAACCTTTTATTGGATCTACATTTTTACAAAACGCTAACAAAAACGCAGAATAATTCATCATGTCTTCTTCAGTCTCATATAATTCGAACAAGAAATGTTTAATCAAATTCAATTTTAATAAATCCTGTTTATCTTCAGTAATAAAATCTTTATCAAACCATAGTTCTTCTTTTATAAAGTTATCTCTCGATATCAGCTCTGTAGATTCTAAATCTATGCAACGAAATTTTTTTCGAACTTCCAATAATTCCGCTATCGTTGGAAAACTAAGCTGAAGGCAGTAAATTAGAAACTCCCTCCAATCCACGTAAGCTGTTTCACCAAATAAAGAGAACACAAGTTTTTGAACCTGTTCGGGATCAATATTTTTCCAAACATCAGGAAATAGGGAACCTTCTTTACTTTCATTACCAAAAATGATAAAATCTTGCAGTAAATAAATAAAAGCTTTATGCATAATAGTGCCTGAGGGTGCAACCAGTTGAAATTGGGATCGTAACCGCGCTAGCTGATTAGTTTTAAAATTAGAATATCTTTTAATTTCAGATTTACTTTCTGGAATTATCGTTTCCACTGATGGAGCAAACTGGAGAACATTATTGTCTATAATTAATGTATCAAACTCAAGTAGTAATGATTCTGGGATTTTCCTTCCTTTCTCTATGGCCATATGAAAGTACTTACACAACCTATCCACAGCCAATACCTCATTTGAGTAATATGTGTCAATTAAGTTTTGAATTTCTATGAATGCTTTCAATACTTGATCACTAAAGAGCTTCATATCCGCGTAACATTTGTGTTGCAACGCTGATATGCGCAAATTGAAACGTAACATTTCTCCATTAACACCAATAGGCCATTCTTCTAAACATTTTAATGCGTTTTCTTTTAAAATTTCCTCTTGGTGGCAGGACTCAGTGGAGCCGTTTCCTTCCTTCTTCTTCATTGGTGTTATTTTAGATTTTTCACTATATTCCTTACTTATAATTGATCGATAAGATTCACCCAAATCTTTTACAATTTTCGTAGCAAATTTTACATTGCTTTCAATTACCATGTTAAATGGATTGTTGTCGAAATCGAATTCAATGCTCTTTATAAAGAACTCTTGGAAAACAGATTTTAAATGCTTGTACAACTTTTCATCTCCACCTTTCTTACTAGAATGACTGGTTTCCGTTTCACGGTATATCTTTGTTAAATCTTTAGAAGAAAGTCTATCAGAAGGCGGCGCGCCTTTAAGCATCGTAAAATAAAAATCGTTTAGTATTTGAAACGTCATAATTGATCTGAAAAATAACAACTGTTTGTAACAGCAGCCAATCATTTTAATTAAATACCATTAACCAAAAGCAACGTTTGAAGGCAAAAGCGTATTTATATAAAGAATATAAGAGAGTATTGTAGACTAAGTCGTAGATTTGTGTTCGTAGACTTTGACGTAGATGTCTCGTAGACCTAGCCGTAGTAGCCGTAAACATTAACGTTGATTGTATTTTTGACATTTGATTTGTATTTTTACTATTTTATTAGTCCTAGTAAACATATTTAACCGTTTTTTTCAAAATTATTAGTGTAAACTTGTAATTAATATTATTTCGGAAAAATATCTTTTAAAAGCAAGATAAAACGAAAGATTTTGTAATATTTTTATGAACATACCTGTTTAATTCCATTTGCATTAAAGAAATATATGTATTAGCTAAAATAGTGAGTTCTTCAATGGTCCAATTATCACATATTAAAGAATGTCTCTTATCTTCAGCGAAAACTTTTCTCTGGTCACAAATATTATATAATTTATTCTGCAACTCTTTCACTCTACAATGCCATTCATTTCTAGCAACGCTTAACGGTCGCCAGTCATTTTCGAATTCGTTGTATTTCTTTTGAAATTCCGTCACTATATTCTGTTTGTCCGACGGCAATGTTATAATTTGTATCATTTTGTCTTTCAAAAATCGTGTGTATGGTATAACATAGTTCATTTGTAGTCTTGTAGTGAAAAACATTTGTTGTATACTATCAACATATGACTTCTCAAATTCCTCCCAATAGCTAGCTAAAGCTGAACCCATCGGTTCAGGGATCGGCAAAACTCCATAGATCCAATCTTCTTCCCCTGGTAGCACTTTAATTTTGTCAACGCTATATAAAGATTTACTCTTATTATCTTGCGCAATCATACTTTCTAATGTTTTAATACGATTTTGTTCAACATCACCAAAAGAAAGAGGTGCCTTAATTATTTCTAATTCTGTCTCTATAGTAGTTCTACTAAGTTTGGAATTTCTTCTTATTTTTTCTTTCGATTTACTGTTGACAATATCAGATTTAACAATTTTTGAACTAATACGCTTCACTTCTGAATTGGGGAATTCAATCTGGTTTACAATATTTTCGTCGAATAACTCTTCAAATGACTTTATTGGGATGCTAAAGTCGCCAATGACAAATTTACATATCTGACCTATTAAATCTCTATCTATTACTTCATAAAATAAACTGTAGTTAATTCCCATGACGGCATAGAATCTGTCTATGATATCAGAATTTTCCTCAGTAAGTTCCCAAATCATCAATTCCTCTGATATATCTGTAGTCTGCTTAAGATTAATGTAGGCTGTAAAATAAGTTTCAAACGGTTTATCAGCCAGTTTCTTGTGTGGATCTTTAACTATTTTAGAGACCCTCACTTCTTTGTAAACGTCTAATTCTTTTAATCTATGCTTCAGTATGCATTCTTCTAAAAGTTCGTCCTCATTGTCATTCAATTCTTCAAAATCAGGTGGACCGAAACCAACGAAAGCTTCTTCCAGTATTTGGAGTTGTAGATAAGTATTGGGATAGTTAACAATAACAAATCCTACAATATCCTCTTGATGTTTAAGATACTCAACGATCATTGCAGCTAATAAGTAATCAGTCAAAGGCTCTCCAGCTGTTAAGGCATCGTATGCATATTGTCCTAAACTTGCAGCAGGTGACATTATCATTTCATCTTCTGGCAGTGATTTTGGCGTTTGTGTTTGTTTTGTATTAGGTAAAGGCGAAAGAAGTGAACCAGAATTATCAATATCACGACTTTTCACGAGCACTTCATCTTCAGATTTCATAGACTTAATCAGATCTTTAGTTTCCTCTTCTTGTGTTGCGGCTAAAAAACTGTCATATGATAATTGGATTTCAGTACGCCCAATCATATCCATTTGATATTCTCTTAAACAATAGTTAATAACAGATTCAAGACGCACAACGCGTATTTTCTGAGAATTTAACAGAGTTTCTAAAATATTGCTCAAAGACTTGTCTGGTAAACTGCGTAAGAGTACTTTTGATGTGTAATCTGGTAAATCAGCTGGTAACCTTTTCGATGGATACGGATATTTCACTTCTAATAAAGTGTAAACAGCATGACCTAATATTTTAAGTCCTAAGCTCTCCGCTGTGCTCTCCTCCGATTCTGGTTCATAATTTGGTATTAAAACATCCAAATTCCACGGGTATAAGTAATTAAGATATTCTTGAAATTCACAATCATTCATCACCTGCTGTCTATCACGTTCTACATATACAATTTCTTCATAAGTAACAGAGGACGATTCTTCAGCGTCTCTTAATTTTAATATATCTTCAGTAGGAACGAGTACTTCGAAAATAGGTTGTTGCTTGAAAAATAAACATTTCCATTCATGAATGAAATGCTGTGGAACATCGTCTTCCATCAGTTTTTTAAAATACCCATATTTGACCGCATAATCAATCAGCGCTAAGAGAGTTTCGTAACATATGTCGTAATATATTTGTCTTTTACGCTTCATTTTTTCAGCATACAATCTTTTATGCAACTGATTTTGTCTCCTTTGTTCAAAATCAATCTCTACAATGCCTGAATCTATCTTCTCTTTGAGATTGTCGAAAAATATGTTTAGTTGATGCTCTCTTTGTTCAGTATATTCAATTTCACCTTGTATTCTGTTCTTAACTAAATTCCGCGCCTGTTGCTTCGTCTCCATAATTTGTGTGCACATTTGCTTCTCGAATTGTGACAACTTCATAACCTTTTTGGCCAGTTCCATGTCCGCTTTACTTTCTTCTTCAGCAACGCAAGTATTCCATAAAGAATTACTTAATGCACTTGCAACATGTCTTTGAAATTCTTCAGAATCGGATCTTCTTCGAATTCTTAGGAACAGATTACTCAAATATTCATTTGTCCAATCAGAATCCACAAATGACTTCTTTCGCTGTAAAGCTTTTTCTTCAAGCGCCATTAATTCCTCATATGTGTAATTTTGATACTTACAGGGATGTTGCTTCTCAAATTTATCTATATCTTCGTTCTTCTTTGGAACTTGGCGGGAACCTTTTTTCACGTAACAAGGTTTCGGAATTTTGGAATCTTCTATTTTACTAATTATTTTTGAATATTTGTGATGAAGATAATCAAACGATTCTTTAATCTCTTTTGCTTTTCGTTTTTGCCATTCAATGAATTGCCTTTCGTCTAGTAGAGGTTTGGATAGATAATCAACAAATGGTTCTTGTTCTTCAGTAACTTTCTTAACTGTAAATCTATTTTCTAATTTCTCTACTAAACTTGATACCATTTTTCTTTCTCGTTTAATAAAGTTTATGCGGTCGCGTTTATCTAAATGAAGAAAAAGCTGGTAAAACAAACGAAGCAATGATGAGCCTTTGCCCATCATAACATTATTTAGATCTTCATCGGTTAAGTTTACTTCAACTTCTTTCAACCACTCCCTCAAATGTTTCCAATTATTTTTTATATCAGCCTCTTCGTTGCTAGCTCTAATAATATAATGTTTTTCGTCGTTTATAACGTGGTAGGATCTCAAGACTGTCGCAACGACATGTCCATTTTTCATCATATTTCCAAATTCTTCTGCTTCCCATGTAACTGGTCTTTCCAAGGTTTGAGAAAGCCAATCTTTTAATATCTCGGCCATTTTAGTAAAATAGTGAATATTCTAAGAATGTAATATGTGTCAAAAAGATATGCAATCCAACAAAGAGCATAGAAATAATAGAAAACATACGATCACAATAACTGTCATGACAATTTTAATTAAAAGTAAAAACGGAAAAATGTAACGTTACAAATTGTTTTTAATTAAAAACGTAAAAAGAAATTGTATGTGGTAACTTCATTCGTAATTCTTATGTCACTGTCAGTACGTGTGTACTTATTATGACTTTTTTGTGATGTTTATTTTCACACGGTTCATGCAGTTTTGTTAAAATTCGCTTGATTCTATTCATCATGAAATGTAATGAATTTGAAAAGAGTGTATGTAAATCATAACTTTTATAAATATATGCTTCTTTGTTAATATTTTGTCGTATTCAAGGTTTTAATTACGTTGTTTACAGGTACCTCGCCATCACATGAATCTGTCTAACTTGGATAAAGCGCTGCACGATCTGGGGATGTTGAGTGCCATAACAGAAGCGCGTCGGGAGTATTTAAGGGAATCTAGAACTAATTTCAGCGTAATGCGTCTAAATACTCGGTATGTATCTAACGTAACCGTGGGGTATTGCATGAAAAGAACCGCAAACAAAAACAGACTTTGCCCATATGTTATACCAGTCAGGCATAGAACTAAGAGTGAAAATTCTGATGCAAAGAGCGATGTGAGCGACAGCGCATGTGAGTATAAAAGCAGTTACCTCGATCCATCGACAAGCCACAGTCCTTTTGACGTGAAGAGTCCAGCTAAACGATGTCAGTCCCTGGAGAACCTGAACTTGTCCTTGGAACCTCAAACGAACACGGAAACATCACCCGAAATGGATTGTGTGTCAACAAGGATTCAGAAGTTGCAAGTTGATGAATGACAAAACAATATTCTATAAAAAAAAAACCTACAAATCAGTGAAATGACACTGTTTATGTCTGTTCAGTATTGTTGAGTGTAATCACAAATATGGACATAATTGTAGAAAAACAAATGTTCCTAGATTCATGAAACAGTTAGTAAATGTCTTTCTATGTGGGAACTTGAAATCTCAATTGATTTTAGATTATTGTCATTTGCTCAAAATTGTCTTCAATTTGGAAATAATTATGTCTGTGTGTAAACAAAGGTTGTTTGTGTAGTTGTCATCCGATATAGTTACCTCGAATAAGTACCACCATTGTGATCATAAAGAACAAATTTATTATTTCCCTAAGTTGCAGCTAAGCATTTGCCGGAATGTAATAAATATTAGAGTTATTATTTATATTTGATTCTAAATACCATCACATAATTTATTGTTAATTATGTTTACGACACTTAAGTGTTTTTAGATCTCATTTCTTTGTGAAATTTAAATTGAATATGATTGCAATTTTTGTCACTATATTTTTTGCTTTTGTGACTTAGAAATAGTTACTTATCTTTGTTAACATATTTTGTTATTTTTCTTTGTTTAATAAAAATATTTAAAATATAAATAACACTTTGAAAATTATTAATGTCATTTCATTCATTCATCTAGAACTCGCTAGAAACAGTATTTTACTGTAAAATATATTTAAGAGAATTTGTTCCATCGGTTTTACCCTAGTGAACAATCACTTATTTATTTACTAGCTTTCGCTTGAGACTCTGTCCGTGTGGTAGTAGCCTATGTGTTCTTCCACACTATCCTTTACATCTATGCCAAATTTTATTGAGATCGGTTCAGCAGTTCAGGCTACAAACTCTAACAAACATCCATCTAAACTTTCACATTTATAATATTAGTATGATTTAAACTGTACAGTTATCAGATTTTATAATTCCACACAGATTCGCGGGCAAAAGCATCTAAATAATTATGGTATTACTACTATTTCTTAATAATTATAGCTGAGTACTTTAAAAAATCTCCTGGAATTTTCTTTTTAAGTTTTTGTCGCTTTATATTTAGTTAAAAATAATCGATTTTGCACTTTCAACACATGCAGTACATAGATTTTTATAACTAAGAAAACAAACAAGTTTTTTTTAATAGGAAAAAGGAAAAAAATCAATGGAGTACTCCTTATTATTTAAAATTGTTTATTCATAGTACAGTTTAATATAAACGATTATGCACTTTCACCACACAAATGCACTACATAGATTTTCATTATTTATAGTTTGTCTAAATAATTTAGATTAATCTGACAATTCATTTCAAATTTAGTAGGAATAGGTTGTGTAAAATCAGTCATGAATCTTATCGATGTTCGATTTTTATTCTTATAGATGGAATCGACAGATTTATAGTTATAACTATGAAAAAAAGAAAAAAACACTTTTCTCATTAATAATGACCATAACAAATGAGAGTAAATAAATATCTATTACTACAACAGCCGTACGTAATCGAATTGGATTTCGCTATTATTTATGTCATCGCTAAATTCTCTACACTATAATCAATACTAGAATTGTTCTCTAAATTAGTGAATAAGAAAATAATAATTTTAGTTGAGTTTGATAATTATTTAAACCGATATCGATAATTCTAAATTGTTGGCTGTGTGTTTGTTTCGTCACTACTATACCTATTAAGTATGGCATTTGACTTCATATAAATTCGGTACTTCATATGCGTCATTCATCAAACTAATCTAAATTATTTAGACACAGTATAGTTAGAAAACAAACGAGGTATAATTTAAAATTGTTTATTTGCAGTTCTTTGAGTATATTTAACACTTAATTATAATTAACAAAAGGAAACACTGCACATGATTTGTATGACGTTAACAACGTTCACAGTAAATAGATACATCAAAGGGCTTTCACTTTGAGTTGCTTCATCTTGGGTGCTTTGCGTTTGCGCTGACGTTTCTCTTCCTTCAGCTCCCAGCGGCGCTGCTTCTCGGGATCATCCTCCTGTAATTACAATTATATATAACTAGCTGTTGCCCACGACTATATCCACATAAAATTTTAAAATATAGCATATGTTTCTCAGCGATAACGTAGCTTTTTAATAGTGCTAGGATTTTTGAAGTCGGCATTGTATTTTTTGAGTTATTTCAATACATACAAAAATCCATCTTGCTTGTTTACTACTATTGGCTTTTTTTTTATAACATAAGGTGGCAAATGAGCAAGCGGCCACCTGAATCCGCCAAAATGGCGAAGCGACCGCTGCCCATAGACATCCGCAATTGCAGATGCGTTGCCTACCCGTATCCGACAGAGGAAGAGACACACATAAAGAGGATATTTTCCCTTTCTATGCTTCTCCTCTACCGTCAAATCCACCCTCCCTTCCCATCCTCTCCTTATAAGAAAAATGTGGTAAAGAGAAAGGGACTTAAATTAGACCTCCGGCACGAATAAGGCTTGTAGTTTTTATCCTTTTCCTGCATGACAATTAATTTACATAGTCTGGAGCGGCTTTTTTGACATTTGACTAAACTATCGCACAACTGTTACACGATTGTCGATTGTTTCGCAGCCAATTCAACTGTTTAGTTACAACTAAAAATCGAGTGGTGTGCACCTCAAAAGCTCATAGTAAGCGATGAAACAGTTGTGCGATAATTTAGTTTCCAGTGCACATTTGATAAATCGATCTGTGTATTTCTGTGTACTTACAGCGAGTATGCGTTCCTTCTCCTGTTTACGTTTCTCCTCTCGCCTCAGCGCGGCCTGCTCCTGTCGGGCCGCGTGCGCGCCGCGCTGCCACGCCTCCGCCACCTTCTGGCGACGCTTCTCACACTTCGCTAGAGCCTACAAATCATCAAATTATAAACGAACTGTCGCCCGTAAACTTCGTTAGCGTGGAATTTTAAAAAAATGGTCTACAACATTCCCGCGTGCATATTTTACCAGCAACCTTCCAGTCAAAGACCCGTTCCACAGATAGCGGTCCGGTCGACATTTTGACAGCACGGAATTTCAAAAAAATGTAGCCTATAATATGCCCATGAAAATCAGCTACCCTTCAGTGAAAGTCCGGTCGTATTCACCTAGCCGCTTCTAGGATTACCCGGAACAAACTCAGGGATAGACAGACAGGCAAAAATTTTTTAAATGCGATTTTCGTTTTCAGCAAGTCAAATACACATTACCCGTAATCTGGAATTTTTCTTTCGATATTACAGACACTCCAATTTTGTTAAATGTATGTATAGATATAGACATAGATACAGATGCTAAAGTTTTGATGAATGTTTGCTAGAGTTTATAGGCTAAACGGCTGAACGGATTTCCATCAAATTTGATACAGATGTAGAAGATAGTTTGGAAAAACACATATGCTACACAATTTTGTTTTTTTTTTTTTAATTTTACGCGGACAAAACTTGGTGAATTATAATTAACTCATTAACCCCAATTAAGGTTTAAGAGTTCCTTGCCTACAATATTACAAAGCACTGTGAGTATGGTGTGGCTGAGTGTGTTACCTCCTTGCTAAGCCTGAGCCGCTTCAGTTTATCCAGCAGGTAGAAGATGAGAAGCAGCAGAGGACGCAGCTCCTCGCCGTCGCCGGTCAGCGCGAAGCTCGCCAGCAGCACGCGCTCCGTCTCCGGAGGTTTCGTCATCGCTGTCTCTCTGACAAACAAAAAATACGTCATCATGTTTTTTATTTTTTTCATCTGCCCACTACTAGACATAAGCCTTCCCCAATAAAGGTACAGGGGAAAAGGATTGGAAGGCCACGGTCCTCATACGCATCCAACGACTATTCGAAAATAAAATAAATAGCTAGGGAACCAAATATTTGCCATAAATAAGATAGAAAAGACTTGAATTCGACAAAATAGCGAAACGACTGTTCATAGACATCGTAACAAGCAGATGCACTGCCTATTTTTAATCGACGGAGGAGCGGACAGATAGACTATTTTAACCTCTTCTAAGCCTCCCCTACGTCAAATCAACTGCTATACCATTTTCATGAAAATGGATATAAAGGGAAAAAATACAAGCCAATAGCAGCAAAAAAGCAAGATTGCTGGAAATAATTGTTAGCTAATGTCAAAGGCCTTTATTGTTATTCATGTAGTTTTACAAATGTATACAAAAAAAATCTTTTTATAATGTGATGAAGCCGTACGGGGACTGTTAGTGTATTTGTGGTTCAGAACATTTGGGTAAGTATGAATGAAAATAAACTACAAAGTATGAATTGTATGGACTTCTAGCGCTGGTTAGTTCACACTATACTTTTTAGTTACCAGTCCAGTTATTGACCGCTGGCCAACTGTACTGAGCAAGTGTGAACCGTTATACAGGTTAGTTTCCTACCGTTAATAAAAAGTAACTTACTCCATAAGTTTGGGTCCGCAGTATCTATCTGAGATGTGTATGTAGTGCAGGTGGGCGTGGTGCTGCGCGAGCGCGGCGCACACGCGCGCGTCCAGCACGCCCGCAGTCGCCTCCGCGCACTCCGACAGCACGGACATGCCGCCCGGCAGACCGTGCTTCTCGCCCGGACGACGCTCCGGGCAGAACACGCTCTAACACAACAAAACTAATATAAACATTCACTAAACACACTCTAACACACAAGAAAACTAATATTATAAAATTTCTCTAAACACACTCTTACACAAGAAAACTAATATAAACATTCACTAAACACACTCTTACACAAGAAAACTAATATTATAAACTTTTAGTCGTACCCGCATTAAGTTACTATTATATACTAGCTTTTGCCCGTGAAGTCTTAAACATGGTATTGAAAACAAAAAAAAACGAGTAGCCACTACGTTTATGCCAAATTGATTTGAAATCTGTTCAGCCGTTTAGACTATAAACTCCATCCATATAAACTATCGCAATTATAATATTAGTATGAAATATGATATATTTTTTAATGTTAAGGTGGTAAAATAGCGAACAGCCACCTGAATTCGCTAAAAAAACGAAGCTACAACTGCCCATAGACATCCATAATTGCAGATGTCTTATACTGTTTGCATTAAAAAAAAAACAAACACCCGTTTATCCATTCTAGTGACACTTTCTTCTATTTTCCATCCATCTAAAGTTTTGTATTTATAATATTACTCAGATGTAATTATTATGAACAAATGGTTTTAAGGAGGTAACTCCAAACGGCTAAACTAATCTAGATGTAATTTGGAACAAAGATAGATAATTGTCTGGAATAGCGTATAAGCTATTTGTTAGTATAGTTTTTTTTTAATTCCACTACAAAGTCGCGGACAAAAGTAATCGTGGTATCCATCCTGAAAAAGTAATAATTACAGTCTCCGCTACTACAAAAACTGTTTACTCTTACCAAGTCCTGCATCTCCTTAGCCAGTCGTGTGGCGACCTTCTTCTGCGCGACACACAGCACGAAAGGATCGCAGTCGTCCTTGCCGAGTTCCACGCGCACCAGCAGTGTGTCAGGCGTACGCCGGCCCAGGTCCATCGCCACGTGCAGTAAATCCTGACGCTGAAATATAAATAACAATTAATACAGAGTGCTACTAAAGATGTAGTGACATTTTACAGTTCAAGTATTTTTTTTTTAATATAATTCTAGCTCAAGTACCGCGGCAGGCCGATATCGGCCTGTTACGCAGTGAACATTTACCTAAACGATTGAAAAAATTTTGAAAAATGAGTTTCACTCTATTAGATTTTTTAAACATTTTTTTATTGATAAGTAATGTTTAAATACTATTGTGGTTAAACAGAAACCTGAAGCTATGATCATTTGTCACAAACGTCAATAATCATTACAGAAAAAGCCATACATTAACTAAACAGTTAAAGTGACAGTTAAATTTTGCCAACCAGTATTACTGAGCAGTTCGGCTTAACACTTAAAATTACAGAACCATAGCTTAACATTAACTTAACCGCGACTGTAACGATACCTTGATAAGTTTGAGGGTAAGCAGCATTCCTTCGCAGCAAACGCGGCCGCTGCACCACATCGTGAAGCAATGCTCCGCCTCGCGGCGCCACCCGCGCTCCCCCGCCGCGCACGACACGTCCGCCTCAGACTCACCTACGGACACGTAACCCCCTATTATACATACTGAACCACCACAATAAAAAATATAGAACAACAAAGACATTAGAAACATATGTAGGCCACCTGAATTCGCCGAAATGGCGAAGTGACCGCTGCCCATAGACATTCCCAATAGTGGATGCGTTGCTCTTAATAGACAGAAGAGGAAACGCACATAACGAGGATATTTCCTCTTCCAATGCGTCTCCTGCAACGTCAAATCGACGTCCTCTTTTCATATAATTATGAGAAAAAGGGTGGGAAGGAAAAGGGACTACATGGTAGGAGACCCGAGAAATAAGGGATCCCGCGCAACAACGCCTGTCCGTAATAAAATATCTTGCATGTCTTAAACGCGCATATAAGGGTATCCTAAAATTTAAACATATAAATAACATGCATATTTTTATCGTATACATTCCATCCATATAAGAATAATTTGTCGTTATTATTACTATCTCTAAAATATATTATATTCCAACTCATAACTTATAGCATACTATAAAATTTTATTCAGTGTGCCTACCTCCTTAAGGCCATGCTAATTATCATATGTAATAATTAAAATAACTTACCGACTAGAGTAAAATTATCTTCTAACAATGGTTTATGGAGCTTCAAGAAGTTAAGTGCAATAGATGTGTTCTTAGCTCTGCCGACGACGTAGGAGATGGCGTACGCAGCGAGGGCGCAACACAATATACCCTCCAACCAATAGGCATCCCAACGGGGACGCACGGTTATAGGAACCTAAATAAATAAATATCATCATCAGCTCACTATCCGCACTAAGCAGCTCGGACCCTATACAAGTTTATACATTAAAAATATGTTCTAAAAGTATTATGCATTAAAAATATGTTCTAAAAGTATTATCCATTAAAAACATGTTCTAAAAGTATTATACATTAAAAAATATGTTCTAAAAGTATTATGCATTAAAAATATGTTCTAAAAGTATTATGCATTAAAAATATGTTCTAAAAGTATTATGCATTAAAAATTTGTTATAAATGTATTACACATTAAAAATTGTACTGAATTAAGTTGTATGACACTCACTTTAGATATAGTGATTTTTGGTTGTTCAGAACTGCGAGGAGTACTGTCTTGGAAACCTTCAAACTCTTCTGGATCTTGGAAATGTTCAAATTCATTATCTTCGTCCTGGAAAATAATAATAAATCTTACATTAGTAAGCAAACCCAACTTTTTTATTAATCTATACTAATATAATAAAGAGAAAAAATTTATATTTTTATGTTTATTGAAATAACTCAAAAATTTAGAAAATTCTTTCACCATTAAAAAGCTACATTATCAGTGAGTAAAATAAGCTTTACTGTATTGTTTTTTTTTAAATAAATTAAAAATCTGCGCGGACGAAGTCGCGAGCAAGAGCTAGTAGGAGATAATTAACAAACCTCCACAAGCATATCATCTTCAACATCTCTTTGTTCTGAAAATTTCTCTTTTGTTGGTGGTTTCTTTTGTACAGGCACCTCTTTCTCTTCTTCACTGAAATCTAAATAAAAGGAATAATTAATTAAATAAGTTTAATTAAGCATAGATATCATCTTGCTTATTAAAATATATACTGCGGAAAAATAAGGTAGTCATTTTATTTCACCAATAGAGTTTCCACTATTTTTAATAAAGAAAAAAACACACTTGTACCACTGAGCCCTAACACACATATTAAAATGAGACACAGCAGATGGTATAATGCTGATTGCCTACATGTTCCACCTTTGGTAACAACTTTTGAAATTCCTAGTTAGACTATACCTATTCTATGTTTTTTATAACATTAGGTGGCAAACGAGCAAATGGCCACATGAATCCGCCAAAATGGCGAAGCGACCGCTGCCCATAGACATCCGCAATTACAGATGCGTTGCCTACCCTTATCCGACGGAGGAGGAGACGCACATAAAGAGGATATATCCCCTTCCTGTGCATCTCCTCCACAGTCAAATCCACTTCCCCTTCCCATTCTCTCGTTTTAAGAAAAGGGTGGTAAAGAGAAAGGGACTTAAATGAGGCCTCTGGCACCACACTCATCAGACGAAACACGGAATTGCTTCCATTTCACGCCTGTCTTCTGTGTGGTCGTGGTATTACACCGGGCGTGCCGGCCCATTCGTGCTAAGATGTTAAAGCGGGCACTACCACTGTTCCTATTCTATGTAGATTTGATTATGATTATAATATAGTTAACAAGAACTTTTTGTAGTAAATGTTTCTTACCTGCTACAGTTGCATCATCATCCACATCAAACTGTTCAAATTCCGCAAAATCGTCATCTTCCAATGTCGTATCTTCGAATCCTCTAACAACAACACTGCACGCAAGTAGCACTATTGGTAATAGCACTAGACGCATTGTGCTGAAAGATAATAAATACTTTCATAATCTAAACTGTTGATTGCCAAGTTATAAACAAGCATTTACTACCACCCACCCTTTTTATAGAAAAAGGATGGGAAGGGAACGCGGATTTGACGGTGGAGATGTGTCTCCACAGGGAGTGTGTCTTCTCCTTTGTTGATAAAGAGTAGCCATCCATTATTGCAAATGTCTATGGGCAGGGGTTGCTTCGCCATTTCGGCGGAAACAGGAGGCCACTTGCTCATTTGTCACCTCATGATATTAAAAAAAACCAAAACATCACCACTAAACAGCTGAGATGATCAAACACTGGGTTAATCATTATACTGTAATTGGTTGACACATAAGGTTTTAAAGCCCTAAGTTTTGGTTAATTTTTTATGACTGGCCACCTGCCTGATGGCAACCTTACTTTGGAGAAAATAAAATGAAATATTCATTTTTGAAACAAAAAAGATGTAATTATAAATACTGTTTGTTGTAAGTCAACATGAGATCACTGTGCTAGCAAACTTAATAGAAATTTTAATTATATAAGGATAGTGTTTTATTAGGGTAAGCTATTTAGTCAATGTTGCCTAAAGATGTTATCATGGAGAATTCTCACATCTTAGTCTTGTGATTCTTTATCTGTACCTCAAGGTTGAATACAAATAAACTTCTTAACTATATTTAGACAAGATTACATTCAAATCTTTGGTCTTAAAAATTGAGTTTAAAACAGATTGTAACTCAATAATCCATCATCCACAACATAAGGATATAATAAAGCTTCTAATCACTGTTTGGAAAATATAATGGTTATTTATTCATGATCATTATTTACAAATACATTAAAACAGAAGGCATAAAGCCTTTTTACCTCTGTATGATTTTTTTTTTTATGAGTAAGATAAAGTAAAAAAATGACATTGAACTGCATTACAGTGGCATTGAAAAATGTATCTAAACTTAATATACTTAGCACAAATACGACGATTTACAGTATCACGTTACGAAGTAATAGGATTAAGGTAAGGGTCATTAGCCATGGCCTGAATTGGCAAGTCATCAAAATATTTTCGACGTCCAAAATCCAAAGAGCGACATTTTAATTAAAACAAATATTATTTTTTTCAACACCTGTACCTATCCATACACGGAAGAAATCAGCTAGATAAAAATTATACAAACCTTAAATGTATTTATTGACGTAAATTTTGAACACTTTTTGTTCAATTAAATTTTATGCACATCACAATTTAAAACCAAAATATAGGTATATTAAACGTTAACCTTTACATACCTTTCGTTTTTATTTTAAATATTATTTTTTTATCTTAAATAATACTGTTTGCACAAAAATGTAACCTATTTATAAATTATTCTACAATTCTACTTCTACAAAATTGACTAGTTTGTTTTCGTTTACAAAATGGTACTTTCTGATTCCTTTTACAAGTATGAACAGCAAATTACCCAATAAAATTTAAGCTTTGAAATGGCTTATCCAATGAACATGAGCTACGCAAGCAGACAACGCAATTAAGTCACGTGGAGTTTTTTTTGCGGAGGTGAAAACAAACTTGTTATCTTGACAGTTGATGAACTGATGTTGCCACCAATTAAAACATGTTTTTAATGAATTTTAGGTTTTATGTTCACAGTGAATATAATTTGGATTTTATTTTATGAATGTAAACAAATAATATAGTTGAACTTAATTCAACATTTAAAACAATTTAATTCTTACTTAATCAAAAAGTATGGAAGCATGCACGCCATCTAGTGTTGAATAGCCATAATCTAACCTTTTACGAAGTTTCAGTGCAACTGCAAACATTCTCTTGCTAAAATATATGCAGTTTGATACTAGATTTTTTTGCATTTTATCTAATTTCCCTCTTCTTAATTATAGAGCTTTATTATTTGTATTACATTTATTAGTTGTACATTACGTCCCAAAGCGGTCAATGACCGCGATATTCGCTAACGACATTTCTCACATATATCAACGAATATTAATTCATTTTTAATCATTTATATCAAGGAATTTATAGGTGATTGACTTTTCTAAAACTGCTATTTTGATTTATATAACCATTAAACATATGCCTATAACTGTTAAATTAGGTGTGATTTTTAAAAAGAATACTTTTGGGGGTCATTTTACATTTATCATAGTTATGTTTTCTTTGTCAGTTTCGTGGAGACTAAACTGCCTAACAAACTAAATGCAGAAGAGCTAATTTCCAAGGATAAGGTGGTTTTTTGTTATGATAACGAACATAATTATTAACGGGAAAATTGAATTTTCATATTGCTTTATTCGTTTAAAATGTTGTAAACTGGAAGGTTGTTATAACAATTTACCCGTTTAAAATCCTAAAGGTGTTTCACATTAGAAGGCTTGAATGGTCTTAAATCATCTCTGACGCCACAAAATTCTATAGAAGTGGTATCAAGAAATTCACTTATTATTAAATTCACGATGTATGACATCATGGTAAATCCAGATAATAAAAGTTAAAATACATGTAAAATACTTATGTAAACTCTACTATTGTGATGTTCTTAATAAGGTTATGTTACGTATATTATAATTTTGTCGTGTACGAAGGGCGGTACGCGTTTGCGTCACCTTAACCTTGACATACATCAAAATTACCGTTAACAGGATAACTTAATATAATGCGAAATGCCTAGACGGATGTTTTTTATATATTACTAAATGGATAAGATACGAAATGAGTATATTAGAGGAAATTTGAGAGTAGCCCCAGTGGTAGAGAAGGTAAGGAGTAAAAGGTTAACATGTTATGTGATGAGGAGGGATGAATCGCAAGTTACAAGGAGAACGTTAGTTATGAGTGTGGAAGAGTACACCAGTAGAGGTAGACTTAGAAAGAGATAGATGTATTGCGTGAAAGATGACATGATCAAAAAGGGAGTGATGACTGAGATGACGTATGATAGATGTGGATGTACAAAAACCTGTTGCGCCGACCTTACGGGAGCAGGATAGGGAAGATGATGATGATAAAACACAGGAAACTTACTAACTTTTTAATTCCGTCGACGAAGTCATGGGCAAAAATCAGTATGTCTATAAAATGTACATGAGTGTCATCGCAAACTGCGAAACATATGCCGGCGTTATGGAAAAAAACACATATATACAAACATAAAATAAAATAATTCGACTAGACTGTAATGGTACAATAGAGAAAGAGATCACACATCAAAAAGGGGTCAGTCGTAAACGTCTAAGCACTACAGGGTGCTCATTTTGACACCTCTAGTCAAGAACGTACACCAGAAACTAAACTATCGCAATTGTTTAGTCTAGCTTTGATTTCTATGAGCTTATATGGAGGTGCACACTACTCCGATTTTAGTTGTGCAATTAAACAATTGATTTGGCTGCGAAACAATCGACAATCGAACAACAGTTGTGCGATAGTTTAGTCAAAGGTGTGCGTTTTAAGCGTAGTCTGTATGTGGGTTTGTTTGTTCAATCTTACTTCTTACTAATATTATAAATGCGAAAGTTTAGATGGATGGATGGATGTTTGTTAGCGTTTGTAGCCTAAATGGCTGAACGGATCTCCATGAAATTTGGCACAGGTTTAGAGCATAGTCTGGAAGAACACATAGGCTACTTTTTATCCCTGGAATAGTTACGGTTCCCGTGGGATTCTTTAATTTAGTTTTTTAATGTTTACTCGATCATTCTGCAACGGTTTAACATATCTTATTGAAATTTAGCACAGATATAAAACAAAGAGTATACATGGGATAAGCTTCATCCCCGAGAAATGTCCGGTTCCCGAGGGATGCGTAGCTTTTTGTAATTTATATAGTTTGTATGTTTTCTAATACCACGCGTACGAAGTCGCGGGCAACAGCTCGTGGAACATAAAAACATACATACATGTCCTGATTCAGCCAGACTGTTCGATATTATGCTATTAAAATTAAAACATGCAATATTGCTTATTTACGACTCAAAATAATACTTTTTTTAATTATTTTGTTACTTTGTATGTTAAAGTTCAACAAAACGTAATAGATTGAAATAAAATATTTAGCATCTGGTCAATTAAAATGTAGCATTGTCATAAAAATGTTTTTTACTGTTTTTGATATAATTTACAAGCGGGATTTCTGTTTGTTTTATAATTAGAGTTTTATTGTTAGATTTAATAGTAACTAATTTTCGTCCGCGACTCCGTCCGTCCGGAATAAAAAAAAAAGTAAATAGTATATGTTCTTCTAGACTATCCTCTACATCTATGCATAATTTCATCGAGAGAGAAAAACATCCACCTAAAAACGGAATAAATAGCCTATGTCCGTCTCCTGGGTCTAAGCTACCTCTTCACCAATTTTCAGCCTTATCGGTAAAGCCGTTCTTGAGTTATAAAAAGTGTAACTAACACGACTTTCTTTTAATTATTAGATAATATATAATTTTCTATTTTATTAAACTTACTACTATAATTAAACTATTATTTAAGCAAAAATACAGTTGTTTGGAAAACGTCCTCCTTTTTTTATTAATGACTAGCTTCCAACCGCAACTCCGTCCGCGCGAAATTAAAAAAAAACAAAAGCGAGTAGCCTGTGTGTTCTTCCAGACTATCCTCTACATGTATACCAAATTTCATCGAAATCCATTCAACCATTTAGTCTAAAAACTCTAACAAACATCCATCCATCCATCCATCTAAACTTTCGCATTTATAATATTAGTATGATTTATGGACATCGAAGTAATTGTCGACACAAAAACAAATTGTAATGCAAAATAATAATTATATTTCAAGCAAACTAAGAATCGATATGTCCTTCGTAGGCTCGTACGCATTTTAAAGTCGGATAAGCTGTTAGTTCCCGTTGTAAAGTCACTTTGCATGCGATTTTCTTGCTAACTTGGCAACGATTCAGTTTACGTATACATCGTTAACTTGGTTAACTTAGTATTCATAGAGCTTACTTATACTTTATTTATATACCATCTTAATATTCAATACCATTTAAAATCTGTTTCCTTAATAATAATACTGTTTATTAAATTTTTAAGTAACTTTAAATTTTTACGCCTTTTTTTTCTAAATTCCGCAACCTTCTGTTTTAACTTTCGATTCTTGAGTTAAATCTGTGCTTTGAAAAATAACTTGTTTAATGGAGTTAAAGTCACTCATGTTAGCTATTTAACTATTTTGATGTATTCTGTATTCTTGAAGGTTATTAGTCTCTGCTATAAATCAATACCATTTGTCATAATTTGGAATAACGATATAAGCTATGTAATTGTGATCCAAAACATTATTATAAAATATTTATGTCATAGTTTTAAAATGTCGTAATTGTGCTTGTTATGGTAATAATCGGATAGTAGTCGGATGTCAAAAATAGGGGTGTTGCATTGGGTCGACGACACGACGGCCATATTGGTAAGGTTATTTTGTGAAAATTGGAAGAAAACATAAGAGGTAATGAAGACTACATTTTATCAAAGCATAACATGGCTGTGATGCCCATACTTCTGTTTTAACTGTACATTTCGATTGTTGAGTTAAGTCTGTGCTTTAAAAAATAACTTGTATAATGGAATTAAAGCCACACACATCTTCAGTTTTAATTAAATACTAGCTGTTACGGTGCGGCTTCATCCGCGTGAAATTATGAAAATTTTATTTTATTGTTTACATTTGTCAAGTTATCAATTGCAAGGGTCAAAATGACATGACATGACAAACCTTGGCAATCTTGCTTCCTTGATGTTGGTAGCAACTTATCGTCTCTTTCCCACATTAGGGTTTTTACCCAAAATATATACCTCCTAAGTTTAATGGCGTTAAAATATATAGCCTAAAGCATGACGCAAGCGTAGGGCTTTTTATTAAAAAAAGAATTATTCAAAAATATGCTGTAATTACTGACATCTTAGGCAACAAAGAAGCGTCTGTTTACGCTTTATTATAATAGTATAGATATAGATCCCACAGCGGAGACTAGATAATTAACAGTTTAATTGTGCAGTTTTCATTTTAGCCTATAGACGTACGTGTTAACTGTAGAGGCCGACTGATTAGTTTAACAGTAAGTTTGTAGCAGGCTTAATTCTTTAGCTTTGTACAAGAGAATACTGCAAAAGTTTACAGCAATAATTGTAGATTAGCAATTCTATAATTTAAAAAAACAGCACGTAAATTATGTACAAAATGATTCACAATTATATTTGTAGACCGTTTTTACGGAATCTTTTGAATGTCAAAGAAATATCAGCGTGTATTCATAATTTATTAACAACAGAAGAAACATTTGAGAGAAAATGATCTCATAGTCTTAAAAGTCGAAAGATCCTGTTCACGGTATTATTAATAACTATTTTTTTATTATTGAAACAACAAATAAGGAACAAAAGCTATTATCCCAAATCGCTAGATTATATTACAAGCAACTACGTACATGTTTCTTTTTTAGTTTTTCCTAGTGCAGGAGTTGCCAACCTTTCGCGAATTATACAGATGTCCGTTTACACGAGTCCCGAATTGCTGTGACGTCATTGCGTAGGTTATATTTTAAAATAAACACAATAATATAGTATTCCAATAATTTAAAAAATGGTGAATCAGCTTCTGTTGACCATAAAAGCGGTGTTAAGGCCATGTTCAATGCCAGTCGACATTTGCTGCCCGCGCTTAAAACACGCTTCGTATAAATTTATTTATAAGTTTTTTTTAATCTGCCGCAATGGCATCCGCCTTCCTTAAGTTCAGTGCCATAATATTGTTTCTCGGTATTAATGCTGGTATGTGTTTTTTTCTTTTTTTTTTTTTGCAAAAGTTATAGGTAATGTAAGATTTTCAATGATGCTAAGCACATTGCTTTACTAACTGCCATTAACTATAAGATAATATTGCTGTAGGTACATAATATAAGTACTGGTGCTAAAATAAATATTTTCGAGACTTCTTAACAATTGCTTTTTTAATTAGTGCAAACTAGTTTATGTTCATTTGATTATAATTTAAAGTGATATACCACTTTGACACTAAAAATATAGCCTAATACTACATTTGTAGTCTCACAACCTATCGATACTAGTACAAAGAGGAAAGATTTGTATTTTTGTGTGTAATAAATAAAACTCAAAAACTACTGGATCGATTTCAAAAATTCTTTCAACATTAAAGCGCTACTTTTTCACTAACATAGGCTACATTTATTAATATTATTTTAATTCCACGCGAACAAAGTCGCGAGTCTATACTAATATTATAAAGAGGAAACATTGTATTTTTGTATGTATTGAACTCAAAAACTACTGGGCCGATTTCAAAAATTTTTCGCTATTAGAAAGGTAATTTATTTGTGAGTAACATAGGCTATATATTTTATTATATTTTAATTTCACTGGGAGAAGTCGCGGGTAATGGCTAGTTTTGAATAAACAGCGATATCGTGCCCTATTTCAAAGATGTCAAGGTATAAACAAAGGTTAATGAAGATCATCTATTATCAAAACATAATTATAATAAAATCAAGGCGTAATCACGTTAAATGAGTCAGTCCGAACAGAAGACCAAGTCAATCAAAGAAGCTTCCGTGTTACATTATTCCGAACTAATTTGCATAATTCTTACGTATGTTTCTTAAAATATTGCATTGTAATGTAAAAAAGGCAAAGGCAATCTATAATTGCGGCCATTATCTATTGCTTCCTATTGTTAGAAGATATTGATCTTTTATTGAACTGGATTACTAAGAACCGATTTAATCATTAAAGATTCAACAGTGGCAGAGCCCATTTTAACATCTTCGCACGAACGGACCGGCTCGCCCGGTGTAATACCACGACCACGCAGAAAACAGGCGTCAAGTGGAAGCAATTCCGCGTTTCGTCTGATGAATGTAGTGCCGGAGGCCTAGGTTTAGTCCCTCTTCCTTTCCCCCCTTTTTTTTAAGAGGAAAGTATGGGAAGGAAACGTGGATTTGACGGTGGTGGTGACGCATAGGATGGGGATATGTCCTCTTAAATCACATTATATTTAAAAAAATCTTTGCAGGAATGTTTTTATAGTAATAAAGTATACTTAAAAAAAGTTTGATACAATTTGGCGTCAGCGGCAGCGGTCGCTTTCCATTTCGGTGGATTCAGGTGGCCGCTTGCTCGTTTGCCACCTTATGTTATAAAAAAAAACTTAGTATAAACAAACAAAAAAAGAGTATGCCATCTATTTATCTTATCTATTTAAGGAAATAAAGGTAAGCTTCCACTGAGAACCTTACAGCTCAGAACTTTATGGGATTTATTCGCTGTTTTAGCGACACTGTACCCGCTTCTTATAACAGTAGAACTAGTTATTTAAAAATTATTAACGTTAGTTACGTTTATGAGAATTTTCTTTGTAGGATCCGGTTGACGTTACTAACCGGTCTTCGACTCGTTTTGTACCGGATCAAATTTCTTTAATTCCTAGAAGCACACATATTTCATTTCAATTAAAAAGTCGTTTCAGATAATATATTTCGCTTGTTTATAAGTTACTTTAGTTATTATTATTAAATCTTTCATTTGAAAATTATACAATCGCGCGCCATCTTTTGACAAATAAAATTAAATAATGCAATAAAACTATCATTCAAAGAAAAAAAAACAGATTAAAACATGGCAACATTTTTATATCAGGTAAAAAAATTGAAACAAAGATTTCCATCAATAAAGTCCTGTTTTCTTTCTAAGACTTATTACACATACATGTTTGTAATTATACTCTATGACACACTTCCATAAATTAACAACAATTTAAAAAAAATGTCGTAGCTTCCGCATTACGTGAATATAATAAATAATATATGAGGTATTGTAAATTAATCAATCTTGTAAACTCTTCATCTATGTAATTATTGTAATTAATATTTTACTTATAGATGTCATCAATAATTATTTTGTTATGATTTATTATCTTCCACAAACAATTCTAGAATCCTTCCAAGCATTTGTATTACCAACATTTAAAAATATCTAACCTATAAAATCCAACAATTTAATCGAAATCTTTCGAATTGAAAGGGGTAATTATATTAATATTTTATCTTCAAAAGCGGGATAACATACATATGTGGTAATAATCAACAATAAAAATTCTAAAGCAATTTGTAAACACAAAATATGTAATTGTACAAAAACAACATACCAACCAAGCTATTGTTTACTTTGAGAACCTGAGAATTATTTTAATGCAAAACACAATGAAACAAACGAATCGTTTGTTCTATCATAAATTACATTTTACGATAATTCACAAGCACGATGTAATAACTAGGAAAGAAAGAGAAAAGAATCGTTTTAGCAGGAATTTTAAGTAGTCTGCTTTCTATATAAAATCCTGCTTTTAACAACACTATAAGAAGATTAGTAAATCTTATTATCCTATTAATTCATTTTGTAATGCGAAAGTATGGATATGTACTATACTAGCTGTTGCTCGCGTCTTCGTCCGCGTGAAATTAAAAGATTAATAACATACATAGCCTATGTTACTTACAGATAAATTGTCTTTCTAATGATGAAAGATTTTTTGAAATCGGTCCAATAGTTTTTGAGTTATTTCAATACATACAAAAATACAAATCTTTCCACTTTATAATATAAGTATAGATTAGTAAATATATTGACTTTAAGGAGTTAGATAAAAATCACAAAAATCGCACATGGTATGGCCCTTGTTCCTACAGAGGGTCGACGCACTAAGTGCTGCTTTTGCACACATTTCTATCAGACATCATATCTAAATTTACTCCCTTAAGCATATCCTCTTTCACACAGTCCAAACATAACTACTTCGATCTTATAATGTTTGTAAGATACGGGTTTCTTACCAAGATTGGGTTGTTTTAGCTCCCGATATTTCGGCACAGTTGCATGCGCCATATTTACGGGCTGACTGAAGTGATGCGGTAGAGTGGAAAAAAAACCCATATCTTACGAACATTATAATTGTAAAAACGCCGACAGTTTAAAGTTATATATACTTCAATCTTCCTTTAGTCGCAATAGAATTCACAGGACACTTTTTATGTCGTAAATTGTACGCTTCTCAAGCATTTTTACAGTAGTAATAAGTCTCATTTTAGTCCCATTCCCTTACCACATTTTTCTTAAAGTTAACAATGATAAAGAATAGCGGATTTGACGGTAGAGGAGACACATAGGAAGGGAAAATAACCTTTATGTGCGTCTCCTTCTCCGTCGAATAAGGGTTGGCAACGCATCTGTAATTGCGAATGTCTATGGGCACTATCGCTTTGCCATTCCGGCGGTTTCAGGTGACCGCTTGCTCGTTTGCCATCTTATAATTTATAATATAAAAAAACAAGTCTTTGTGTACAGTAAAACTATATCGATAGTAAATATTAGTAATACATCAGGCATGTACAAGGATACGTACAACGAATGACGCACTAAGTATGGAATAAACTTCGCATTCCGGATCTCAAGATGCCAAGGCTCGGTTGTCACCTTGACCGATCATCGATTCCATTGACTTGTCAATGTTGCGGTTTTTAACTTATAAAAATAACTTATCCTTATATTGAAAATCTTTACGTATTGTTTACTTACTACATTGAGTTTCCCTATATTTTTGTCATAAATATGCTTTTTTGAGGGCTATTTTTATATTTTTTGCCATTATTTTTAAAACTGCTCAAAGGGTCTCGATGAAATTTGGCGTCGACGTAAAGGATAGTCTGGAAGAACATAAAGATAACTTAGTTTTGGTTTTGTTTAATTCTCCGCGTACGGACTCAAAGGCGAAAACTAGTGACATTATAAAATGACACTAATTTGAACAGATTATTCGACTATGTTCTCGGAACTAGAATTTACAACTTTACATATATTGTTTTAAATTAAATAATTTAAGTGCCTAACGTCGCGTCCATGTGTTCATATCTTCGTGGGATTGAAGGTTTATTTTATTTATGTATGTATTTATCTGTTCTCCAGGTTTAGCAGTAGACCAGCCCGTCACCGAGGTGTGTCTCGGCTGCCTCTGCCAAGCTGTGTCGGGCTGCAAACAGGGCCTACAGTGCGACGGCGACGCGTGCGGTCTGTTCCGCATCACGTGGGCATACTGGGCTGATGCTGGCAAGCCTACTATCGATGGCAGCTCTCCCGAAGCACCTGGAGGTAAATTCACAAGAGTTTATAAGTTTAAAATGTATTAAAATAAGGTTAAATGACGAATAGCAGTGTTTTAGAAAGACTGTATTTACGCAAGCAGAACTGAGAATGGTTTATTGTCATAACTAAAATTAGTATAAAAGGCCAGCTTGTCAATCCTTATGTTATAAGGTGACTTCGGGGAATGAGCTTTACTATATGAAGTACTATACAACTCAAGAGAAGAATTCAATAATACTTCATATTAATATTATAACTGCCCAAGTTTAGATGGATGGATGGATGTTTGTTAGAGTTTTAAGCGTAATCGGCTGAACGGATTTCGATTAAATTTGGTATGGATGTAGGGGATAGTCTGGATGAATATGTGGGCTACTCACTTTTGTTTTTTTTTTTAATTCCACGCGGACGGAGTCGCGAAAATAAAGAATTTCGAAATTTTTAATATTACTTTAAATTGTAATTTCAGCTTACCCCACATGCACTAACGACCCCGGCTGCGCCGCCAGAACTGTCCAGCTGTATATGAACCGATTCGCTCAGGTAAAAAATAAACTTTTTTATATAAATGAGAAAGTTTGGATGATTGATGATGATTGATACGTACGTCTAAAACGATTTAAAGGAAATTTGCCAAAAATTTAAAATTTTGCACAGGTGTAGAACATAGTCTGGAATAACATAAGCTACAAATGAAGTTCTTTTAATGCCGCACCGATGAATTCACGGACAAAAGCTAGCCATAAATAACAAACTCTAAAGATTTTTTATCTGCAATAAGTCTGAAAGCTGATTTTTTGCTTTTCTAAAAACACGATCGCAATCCATTCAGTATTTTTTAATTACTTTTATTTTTAAAGTGTAGGCAAATAAGTCACCTTTATTACGAAAACGAATTTAACACTTGTGCACTGAAAACTCTATTTTTTAAGTCTTACAATCTACTAGACAAAGAAAATGTACAGGCAAAAAACTAAAGATCAATCTACAAAAAAGTGTACACGATAAAAATCAGATCCCGCCATTCTAAAGGCCACTTGAATCAGGAACATACAAGTTCAATAAAAAACACTTGCACTTTAATAAAGAAGTGATATTTGCATAGAGTTAATAACATAGACGAGTTTAAAACATTTGTATTGTGCCTAACTGTCACTCGTGACTTCATCTGTGACGAATTTAAAAAACTTAATAAATAGCATATGCGTACTTCTATAGACAGTGTTCTACTTTAAAACATCCATGTCAATGCAGACGTTGTGGGGTTACCTTCTAACCTCCATCCATACTATGTGTATGCATGTGTTTTCACTCAAGACTAACTTTTTAATTTACAAGACAATAGTTTAAAAAAAACTCTTTTAATTTCCTCTTAGCAAATCTTTATGAATGGATATCTAGATCGGGTATTTCATCTGTGGAAAAAATCTGCATAAGAGCGTTTTGTTAATTGTACAGTCAGATCAATCCGCGATGATCCACTTACAAATTTGTCTTGTTCCTTGCAATGAAACGACAGACGCCTTTTGTTACAAATAGCCAATAAGTAGGGAGTTGTTCAATGTGGAAAACCATTAGATTACTTGACTGTACATATCGAGAGCATTGTCTATATTATTGTAATACAGGTTATATGACTAACTGTCCTCTCTATTCATTTTACATCTATGGAAGTGTCAAGTTGTAGGCGTTTTGTGTTGGTAATAAGCTTGCTCCAGCTATTAGCATAAGGCGCAGCCGTGCGCGGTGACATCACTCTAAATGCCAGCCACTGCCTTCGGACCGCGAATAAATAATAACAATAGATGTCAACAGAAACACATATGTCTTGATAATAACCTGTTTACTGTTGTAACTAGTTTTGTATTACAAGATACAAACTTTATGACCGCTCGAAGATAGTTGCCAGTGCATTAGACAGACAAGCAGGGTTGTGATCAGCTCAGTCTTATGTCAAATTGAGCGGTCATGAAGTTTGAACAGCAATGTACCTATTATTATTAGCGTTAATTCAATAAATATGACCTTGACCTTGGATATCCGTAAGCCAGAGGTCATCTGTCGTAATATTTGTAAAGATATATGTTAAGTGGACAGGTATTTATAAATAAAGCAGAAATATATGTAACGAAAACCTAACAATATATAAATATAAAATACACACAAATCTGTGGCAATACTGATCAAACAAGAATTCTGTGTTTACGTCATTGTTACGTTAGTCAGCCATAACGGATTGTGTTAACTGTGGACATGCAGTAAAGCACATAATGAACCGTTTACGCGCTTAATAGAAGCCCCCCCTTTTTTTTTGCCCGAAATGAATGCATCTAACGCATGCTCCGCGCCCAGGGGGGCGCGGTAGTTATTTTTTTCTAACCGCTAACCCATATTTTTTTTTGTATATTTATATTGTATGTTCAACGATGAAAATATAATTTCCAGGACTGTAACGGAGATGGTCAAATCGACTGCTACGATTATGCTGCTATTCACAAACTTGGCGGCTACGGCTGCAAGGCAGACCTGCCATTCAAGTTCCACAACACTTTCAACCAGTGCCTAGCATACGTCGCTTCTTACCAGGGTTGAAGATGCCACAGATATAAAAAAAAATCTCCACAATCTATTAAAAGTTAAACAAAAAAATTACTACACATTTTAAGTGATTTTAAAATTCATGAATGAAAATTATAAAAAAAGACTGCAGATATATTTCGAAAATTGTAAATTCTTTATTCATAAACATTTTAGAATTATATTTTAATTTAAGGTCAATAAAAAATCGAAAGTAAATATTGCATTAATTTTTTTTTCAATTTAATTTCAAACAACTTTAATCCCAATAAGCCTAAATTACAATATTTATTTAAGAAAATATATAACCTTTAGAGTGGTAAAAACTATCATAATCTTACTAATACGAGTATTGTAAATGCCATAATGCAGATGGATAGATGTATGTTAGAGTTTGCAGCGTAAACGACTGAACAAATCTCAATGAAAATTGGCATAAATGTAGAGCATAGTCTGGCAGAACACATAAACTATTTACTTTTGTTAACCAACTTCCCAAAAGGAAGAGGTTCCCAATTCAACTATATCTTTTTTTAATCCCACGCAGAGGGAGTCGCAGGCGAAAGCTTGTAATTAATAGTTTTACTGGATTGTCGTATTAGATGACAGAACGGAAGGTCGCAGTTGCAAGAGTCGAAATATTATTAAGTCGTAAATTTAATTAACTTACTTCCGTCGATTTTAAATTTGCTAAAAGTTTCAAAGTAGATTTGTCGGATAATTAAAAGTAATAAGTTACAGCTTCCTCTGGCATTGCGTACAATATTTTAAGTTCATTATTTTAGTTGTTTACTACTGATTAAATATACTGGTAATTACTTATACGCGCGTTATCAATAGGTTATCATTATTGGGTCTTGGTTTTCCTTTATTCATAAAGTTAGCTTTCGAACGCGACTCCGTCCGCGTGGAATTAACTACAAAACACAAAAGTAAGTATCCCAAGTACTATACTTATATACGTACGTAATACGTATAGTTTGTAAAAACACAGAGTATATATGTAGATATATATTCCAAATTACATCCAGATCTGTTTAGCAGTTTACGCTACAAACTCTAACAAACATCCTTCTAAACTTTCGCATTTATAATATTAGTAATATTTCATATACTTAAAGTTTCCTGTATTTAAGTTCAGACCATATTTTGATTATTTCTTGCTAACCTACATATATAAGCGAAATTAAATTAAATTTTTAAGTAGACGCTAAAAGGAATTCCGAGGTAACGATTGTTTTTTTTTTCTAAATTTGAAAGTCTTTTTTAGTGTTTGTTTTAGTGATTTATAAAAATCAAGACATCGAAGAATATTAACTAGTAAGTCTAAATCTAAGAAAGTTCGCACACCTGAAACTAAACTATAGCACAACTGTTTAGTCTGGATTTGATTCCTATCAGCTTATGGAGGTGCTCACTACTCGATTTTTAGATTAACAACTAAAGAGTTGAATGGGCCGCGAAACAATCGACAATCGCAATAGTTGATCGATAGTCAAAGGTGTGCCATCTCTAATTATTATTCGGTTGTTTACTTGTTACGAATATTTTTTACTAAATATCAGTATCCATTTAATTTAAAAATAGTTAATCTAACCTTTGAAGATATACTTGACATTTTGTGGTCATTTTTTTAATAGATAAAGCATAAGCACAGGGACAATAACAACTTGTTATCGTGACTATCGAATATTTATATTAAATTATTAGTCAAAATGTAAAGGAGAGATTATTTTATCTAAAACAACGAAACTATTGAAGGTATATTGCTAATAATTTTATTTTTAGGAAGTAACAACATCCAGAAATAACATCTACATATGTACTATCATATTTCATTCTACCATACTTACTTGATATCGTCAATGCTAATGTTTGGATGGATGTTTTTACTAATATCTCTATAAAGGCTTAGTGGATCTCGATGAAATTTGGCACAGATGTAGAAATGGAAGAAAACATAGGCTACTAAGCTGTTTGTTTGATTCCGTTTACGAAAACTATACAATATAGCTACCCTTTTTTTACTATGTGACTCCACATTTCCATACACTTTTCACACATAGTAAAATAAAAATATCCTAGATTTGCTTAATTTCGGATTGTCCTTATACTTTTTTTTAGGAAAAATGAAGATCATAATTAGTATTTTGATTGGAGTATTGCTTGCGAGTGTATCGAATGCTTCAGTTGGATACGAATCGATGAGGTTTTGCGGCAGAATGTTATTCTATGCTCTTACGGTAACATGTAATACGGACGTAACGCATTTATCCGCAGAAGTTCAACCGATAGAGCACTACATTCTAGACAGTAAGTATAACTTAAGATTCACCAGAAGTTCTAGTATTTTTAAACAAGCGAAGTTATTAGATTCGAAGTACATAAGTGTAACACACACAAACTGCGTTAGATTTTAGTATAATTTCAATACTTGATCAACAATAACTTTTATTTTTACCTAAACGAACTTTTGCCAAAACAGACGTTAACTTTCGCTACGCAATACATGAATGAATGCAGTAGATTTTACTGATTTGCAGTTCGTGTAATACCATAAAAATACTGATAGTATTGCTACTCATTGAAGAAGTACGTAGAATGAAATCGTCGTCGTTTACAGATACCTCGAGCAAAGAAATAGAAGAGAATGATATAGGAATTCAATCGAAACAAATGAAGCGTCAAAAGAGAAGTTTTCTTCTCGAAACCTGTTGTTATAAGGCCTGCACATTGGAAGAGCTGAAACAGTTTTGTTGAATGTATTATTGAATTTGTTTTACAAATAAAAGAATGATTAAAAAACCTTACTTTTTTTTAGTAACTGTTTCAATTTACAGGATCTTGTCGTTTGAAAGAAATGAGAAACATACGAATAAAATTACGCAGAATAGTATAACGGAATTCAATCACTTAATAAAAACAGTACTACCTGGTTTAATACTAATCCGTGATCAGTATCATGTTAAGGCGGTCGCTTATTGTATGTCTCATCTATTTTTTACATCCCGACTCTGAGAACGTTCTAAGAACTTTAGTTTTTTAACATACGAAGCTCCGGTACGTTCATTACATCACGTCTCAAATGTATAATAAATTAAAAAATTGAATCCGGCAAAGACGCGCAGAGTGGAGTGTATTACTTTGAAACAATGGCGATTAATTTGCTGTGTGTGATTTTTTGTCTTATTGTCTCAATTACAGGTATGTATTGAATTATTTTATATTTAACTCAGTATTATACAGTGTTAGCAGCAAAAGCAATCTTGCGAAAAGATTAAATATGGTTAAAAAGTGGATAGTGCGTTGGATAGCGAGGTATAATTGTGGCAAATCCTTAGGATAACCAAAGGACGACTAAAACAATCTTATGTGAAGGTAAAATAGCAATTGTTCTCTTAAAATACAAGTTACTTTCGATAGTTCCAATTAAAAATTTGATAAACCATCGTTTGTTAGACGAATATGTATGTAATTTGAAAGTTTGCACACACTGTATCATGGTAAAAACATACTTTAGAAATGACCCAGTTCCGGATTCTTAATAAAGTGTCAATATAAAGATCGCAAAGGATGAAATGACCGTTTTATCCAGAGAATTCGGGGTTATTCTTTTAACAATTCTTTGTTCATTAAACGGAATATCGACGAGAAAGCTTGTCTTGACAATATCATTCAGGTTGTAAATCTAATGAATATTGTTTGCGTGTTATTAAGGTCACATTTACAATGAATTAATGCAAATATATTTATCGCAACATTAGAAATATAGTAGAAGTAACTACATTTATTATCATTTCCGCGAATTTCAGAATATGTCATGATTGTTAGTTAATATTTGTAAAATTAAAAATATCAAAATAATTAAACAAAATGAAAACGATGTGAAAGTGAAACTAAACGTCTTATATGTTTTTATTATTATTATCTTCCTGAATTTAATCGGCGGGAAACATGTGTATAAAGATCTTCGATTGTGACAATGAAATTAGTCGATATTTTCTTGAAATTCATAAAAAATCAGTAAAGATGAATTATAACCAATATTAAATTAGGCACCTCTAACTAATTATACTTCTATAACTAATTGTTGTTCTAAAGGTGTGCACATATCAAATCTGGACGACTCTTGTCTCCGTTGTCTATGTCATGTTGCTGGATGTGACCTCGCCCACGGATGCTCACAAGGCTATTGCGGCCCCTTCTACATATCCCGGGTGTACTGGGTAGATGCTGGGAAACCCACGTTGCCTGAAGATAACCCGGAAAGAAAAGAAGGTGAACACAATCATATTTTTTGATGAAATTTGGTATCAAAATATGAGATAGAGATCTCGTTATTGTCTCTACACGTAAAGAGTAAACACATATCTTTGTTATATGTGAAAAGTCCTAAACTTATGACACATTAAGTCTATATAGTAAACTTAGAGGGTGAGATGTTAATATAAAGTTCTTTGCGAAAAAAGCCTAAATGATACAAGCCACTACCAGCAACGAAGCAAGGTTGCCATGATTACTTAATTCTCTGCTAATGGCAATGGTCTTCGTTGTCATTTACGTTTTTTAATTACGACATTTTCAATCGAAAGTTGTACAGAATTTAACCATTAACTTATTATTCCATGCGGATGAGGAAACACGAGAGCAGATAATTTTTAATATTGATATACTTTTCATTCCAGCCTTCGAAGACTGTGCTCGAGATTACTATTGTTCGGCGAAAATAGTCGAAAGCTACATGGCGAGATTTGGAAAGGTAAGGCTTTGGTTAGAATCAAGCGCCTACCTTAAGTTAGAGGTGACTTTACCGTGCTACTTCAAGTAATATAACTCGATAGAGTACTAGTAGGAGGTACCTTATTTTAAGGAAATTATCGTAACTATTGAATATGTTTTAAACAGTGAAAGTTAATGTGCATAGTTATTTTTTTTAAGTCGATTTGAATTATGGTCCACTAGCTTTCATCCGTAGCTTCGTTCCCGTGCTATAAAAAAGTTATTAGGCTATATGTATTCTTCCTGAGTATCTACATCTTTGGCAAAATTTAATCGAAATCCGTTCAGGAGTTTAGTCTACAAGCTCTAAACATCCATCTATCTAAACTTTCTCATTCATAATATTAGCAAAATGGTTACCAGGATTGTAACAGAGATGGCGTGACCAACTGTTACGATTATATGATGATCAACCACCACGGCGGCGGCGCGTGCACCGAACCTCTGCATCTCACCAGCCTGGGTCGCCGGCGCCTGCAACTCTTCCAGCAGTGTCGACTGTAACCTGCATTACCTTCCAGAATTAACGAATAATTTGCTTGACAGTAAAGATTGAAAATAGCGCCATCTACTGGTGATTGAAATGTTTAGTATAAGGTTTAATTTATTTAAAATAAAAATTGGTATTTTTGGTTTAAATTAAAAACAAAGTATAGAAAATAACATTTTATTTTTAATAAAATTACATCAGTATTGCTTAAGTTTAACTTTACGTCATTAATTATAATTTTTACAACAATAAATCTCTTTTACCGTTCAGGTAATAAGAAATTAAAATTACAAATCGAAATACACTAATGTAAGCTAATTTTTAAGTATATCTATTTGTTAAATTTAATATAACCAAATGTATTTACAACAAAAAATAAATTTGTTTAAAAAACAAAATTCGTTTTTTTTAATTTCACTGGTATATCATTTAATTTATCTAAAAATATTACCCAATTCCGGACATCCTGTATATCTGAAAATCAGTTATTATTTTAAAAGTCTCTATCTCCCATAAACTACTTCAAAAGTAAAAAATAACTACATGAAATTAAATCTTGTAGTTGTAGTATTCATAACATATATTGACATCTACTATGCTAATTATTTTGTGATCAATTATAGTTAAAAATAAACAGTTTTATAACATATTCCCGCATTTCTCAGGTATCATTTTAACAATCTTCAGTTTCAATCAGTGACCTTTACAGCTAGAGTTCAGTTATTATTTTTAAACGTAAAAAGTCAGGCAAAAGTAACAAGAGGAGCGGGCGACTGCCAGTGTTCATTATCCGCTTCTTCATCTGACTCGTCAGGAAAACGAACCTGAAATTACATCATATGCTTAGTCATACTAATAAATGCGAAAGTTTAGATGGATGGATGTTTGTTAGAGTTTGCTGAAACGGCTGAACAGATTTCTATGAAATTTTGTACAGATGTAGAGTATATTCTGGAAGAACATATAGAATATTATTTTTTTAAAATTTCACGCGGAAGGAATCGCGGGCGAAAGCTAGTTATTTTATTAAATCAACTATCGTTGACTATTTCATAAAATCTTTTGTTAATTCTAGAAGTTACATACCCATGGTGCTAGTTTTTTACTATTAGCTTGGAGGGAACTCGCTTGGTTAGCTTGCCATGCCTGAAACAAAAATGTATCACTTATAAGAGCGGGCTAACACATGAAACTAAATTATCACACTACTCAATTATTAGTTGTACAACTAAACAGTTGAATTGGCTGCGAAATTATCGACAATCGCAGAATAGTTGTGCCATAGTAAGTCAAGGGTGTGGGTCGGCTTTTAATATCCCTTTAAAATAGCTCATACCTTTAATAAATCTGATAAAGAAATAATAGAAAGTTTGTATGTTTCTTATTGAATTTCTATATAACTGTTAGGCATCTTACTGCTGCCCTGTTTTAAAAGGGGTTTCTTTGACTAAGCAGTTAAATTAATTAAATACTTTACCAACCTGGTATGCATCATTGAAGGCATGCGCGAGTGACAGCGCGAGCGCCCGCGCCTGCTTCGCCCTCGCGCATACGAAGACGTGAACCACGTGGTCCTCCTCCGAACCGCTTTCCTTCTTGCCCTCCACCACAGCGAATACACGGGCGTTTGCAGCGTCCGCGGAACAGTATGATATTCTGGAAAGATTACGCAATCTGTGACAGAGTCGGTAACAGAATTTACCCGCCATACCAAAGTAATATACCACAGAGAATAGTGTTGTGAAATACAAGTGTTTCCGCGAATAGACAAAGGTGGACTAATGTACCAGAATACGATCTCCGTTCCCTAAACTTTTCTCATAAGGAAAAGAATAGAAGGGTTAGTGAGTTTGGAGAGGGAAAGGACCTCTGGTTTTTCTATTAAAGAAGGCCAACGCAAACTGTTAAGTTGTTGAAAATATAAGCAGGGGTGGCCTCGCTATTTTTCTTCGTTTACGGTGTTCTACTATCAGTCTCTAAGTTCTGTTATGCCAGACACAATATTCATAATTGTAATAAATTGCAATTAGATATTTTTATCACAATTAATTATGTCCCATTATTAATGGCCGAGTCACTGACTTATAATATTAAGATAAAAAAATGTATTAACTATAACTACAATTATAGTTTAGAAAATAAATAATTATTAAAAACAAAATTACCTGTATATTGATACACTGAGAACATTCTGCTGTGAATCGACGTCTGTCACCAGAATGCCTTTCGCGCTTATGTCTAAAGTCACTCGTTGTAGCTTTTTGTTCGACGCTGAAAAAAAAGAATTAGTTAATAAGAAACTTGAAATACAGTCATTTGAGTCACACCTTTGACTAAACTAAGGTACAGTTGTGCGATTGTCGATTGTTTCGCAGCCAATTCTACTGTTTAGTTGCACAACTAAAAATTGAGTAGTGTGCACCTCCATATATAAGCTCATATGTATCAAAGCTAAACTAAACAGTTGTGCGATGATTTAGTCAAAGGTGTTTGCGTTTTAAAGATTTCCAAGTAAAATCAACAGATCCTTAAATAACCTACTGCGAACTAGACAATTGTGAAAATTTTGCAAAATTACCGAAATGTTATTTTCTTTAGTTGATTCAAAGAGAATAACAACATTTTACACATGTCCTTTGCAGTGTAAACCGGCGGGTAATTAACGTTTTGTAACGTTACATTTCTTTCGCGAAGAGAAACTTAATCAAAGCGCTGTGGACCATTTACGTTGCCTGTGCGATCATTAACATCATATTCCTTGTAGAGAAAGCCGCTGTACTTGTTTAGACCGTGCGAGGAATTGTTAAATAAGAGTCAAAGGAGATAATCACGAACATAACTATCTTATATTACTTCTTACTAATATTACAAATGCGAAAGTTTGGATGGATGTTTGTTAGAGTCTGTAGCATTAACTGCGAAACGAAAATGGATTTAATTTGGCAAGGATGTAGAGGTAGAACACATAGGCTATTTATTTTTGTTTTAATTACAAGCAGACAGAGTCGCGGTAAAACTAGTAATAAATAGTTTGCTTGTTTAAAAAAGCGTGGAGGAGCGTCGGTGGCTCAGTGGTTTGAACACTTGACTTGTAATCTACAGGTGTTGAGTTCGAATCCCGCCATGTACCAATGTGATTTTCGATTTTTCGAATTTTCATATGTACATAATTTACCCGACGTTCTTAGGGTGAATGAAAACATCGTGATGCAACCTGCACATATCGGCGAAGAAATTCAAAGATTTGTGTGAAGTCAACCAACCGGCACTTGGCCAGCGTGGTTGACTATGGCCTAGTCACCCCTTATTAGGGTAGGCTCCGAGCCCTTCGGTGGGGACTTATAGTGAGCTGGTGATGAATTGTTTAAAAAAAGCATTATGTGTTATTTAAATATTGTGTTACCTTTAATAGTGTGCAATGCAGAGCGAACAGCTATCGCGGTAGCCGGTGCGGAGGCTGCACGTTCGACGGGCACGGCGCCGGCATACCTTACCTCGCCTTGCTCACTAGCGCCACGAGCTTCACGCCACCAGCCTTCGCCTTCGCACTCTGCCAACGCCCACTCCTCACACAGCTCTGGGACGCAAAATTTTTTTATACACAACAAAGTTGCGACCAGTAAATTAGAGTACGCGAGCGATCGCCGAGGACAAGTCTATGAATTACCCTCATAAAACTCTTTCTTCTTTTTTAGTTATGGTAAAAAAAGAGGGTGCCATATAAATCTCGCTAAAGGATTTAGTACAGCTAAAACCCTCCCTGCCTATATGTATTCCGAGGTGATGGAATGTGTCGTATATTATCATGTCGAGAAGTAGAAATTGTCAATAAAATATATTAGTCCAGTCCATACTAATATTATAAACAGGAATGGTTTGTATTTTTGTATATATTGAAATAACTCAGAAACTACTGGGCCGATTTCAAAAATTCTTGCACCATTGAAAAGCTACGTTATCAGGCAGTAACATAGGCTCCATTTTTAATAGTTAGTCTTAATTAAAGAAGACATGTTTGTATGTTGACACATCTTAATATATATTTAGATATTTATTGTATTGATACGTTATCTAGGCCAGACGGCGATAGCGCAACTGGGCCAGGGGTCGCGATATTAGGCGCAGTAAGGCGGACCAGATCACAGATTACAACCAGTACCAACTAGCTATTACTATAGTTAGCAAACAACGAAATTGCGCAGTACTCTAGAGCATCCCGAGATCTAAAACTTCATATAGATCTAACTTCTAAACAAATATATGTATAGACTAGCTTTCGCTTAACTACGTCCCCGTGAAATTTAAAAAAAAACTAAAGTAGCCTATGTGTTCTTCCAGACTATCCTCTACGTCTATACCGAATTACGTCGAGATCTAGCCGTTTAGGCTACAAACCCTAACAAACATCCATCTATCTAAATTTTCGAATTTATAATATTAGTAAGGTTAATTATAAATTCATCAGTCCTCTTTTTTAAATTCATGAGAATTAGGTTACATTTGTTAATATGTCCTTTGATATAAATTGAGAAGTTCAATCGGGAACAAAAGGTTCGGATGCCTCTTTCTCTCTCTTTCTATATTTTTCTTTTCTATCTTAATCCATTGCTACACATAACAATAATGTTTAGAATAAGATCTTAACATTATGTGGTCTGCTTGATTTCTTTGTGTAATGTTTTGTAATAACACAAAGTGTTTGTGTGTGTGTACAACTTAATTGTAATAAATCTGTCAGTTTCCTTATAAAGAAGTCATCAACTTGCGAGTTCATTCATCGGATAAGCGTTTAGCGTTGAATAACAATTTATGCCTTTGTTTGCACAAACATTAACGAGTCAATAGTTCAAATCTGTTATTACGTTAATATAGGAAATACTTCGCAATACATCTGCACTTTATGTAATTTAGCTTTGTAATGCACAAGTCAAATAATAAAGTCCTTTGCATTTTAAGTTGGTTTAAATAACTCCAAAAGTCAAACAAAAAAATGGGACCCACCTGCAAGCATTACCTTTCGGATAAAAAAAGAATTATCAAAATCGGTCCACTAGCGGCGGAGTTATGCCGTAACATACATAAAAAAATTAAAAAAAAAACATACAGACGAATTGAGTACCTCCTTCTTTTGGGAAGTCGGTCAAAAATATGTAACTACAGACCCTAAATCTTTTGAAACTTAGCTCGCCTACGAGTAATATTTTATGAGAAACTAGCTTTTGCCCGCGACTCCGTTCGCGTGAAATTTAAAAAAAAAAACAAAAATAGCCTGTCTGTTCTGTCAGACTATCCTCTACATCTATACAAATTTTCATCGAAATTCATTAAGCCGTTTCGGCTACAAACTCTAACAAATATCCATCTATAGATTTCACCAAAGTTTAGATGAATGGATGGATGTTTGTTAGAGTTTGTAGTCTAAACTGCTGAATAATAATAATAGATTTGGCATAGATATAGAGGATAAGTCTTTAAGAACACACTGGCTACTTAAATTTGTTTTTTTAATCCCGAGGGGATGAAGTCGTAGGCGGAATCTAGTTACCTTATAATGTTGACTTTTCACCGTTTTAGACGTGCCTACGAGCTTATAAAACTTATTGTTACTAAAAAAAACTAAACATAAAAATGTAGAGCACAGAATAGTAAAAAAAAACAAGTATTTAGTATGTTACTGTTTTCTTTCAGAGAGTTAGCTTTTATTGGTAAAAATACAAGTCGCATTCTACTCTTAGAACTTTATAAATTATTTATCAACCGAAGAAAGGTTGATTGAACAGATATACAACAGCATTCCTTTTATTAATGTATGAAAAGATTTTACTGCTGTTTTCGATGACCACGATACAGGCATTGCCTAGTGTAGGCATCACCAGATTAATCGTATATTAACCACAATTTTTAATTATCTTTTAGTTGGTATAACTGTTATTGTAATTGTTAATCTCTTGTTTTTCAATAAAATTATTTCTATTTCTATTTCTAATATAAGTGTAAACTAAAGGATTATTATTAGTATTGAGTTTACCGGTAAGGCATTTAGCTAAAAGGAGACAGGGCTACGAAATACATCAACGTATCCCTTCTGCCGATTAAATGCAGACAATGCATCTACGAATTCAATTTCCAAAAAAAAATTTCAGACTCTACGAGATCTGACTCTCACCATAACAACTCAAACATACAATAAGAAAATATTAATGTCCTTCTCTTAGAAAAAAAAAACAAAGATAACATCTTGTATCAATGTGTTACCATTAAATGCCTTCCGAAAATAAAATGATTGGACTTCGATCTATATGTTATCTACCAAGGCCAAACAATCTTATTATTAGTAACTTATCTAGAAAACAGTATTAATGTCAACAAAGTTTTCTTTATATGATTTTGTTTTTATTATGCATTTCGTAGCATAGAATAATCATACAAATCTTACTAATATTATAAATGCGAAAGTTTAGATGGATGGATGTTTGTTAGAGTTTGTAGATCTCGATGAAATTTGGCATAAACGTAGAGGATAGTCTGGAAGAAGGCACACGTTACTCAATTTTTTTTTAATTTCACGCGTTGAACTCTCGGGCGAAAGCTAGTGAGATATAATTTCTAAAAACTAATATTGCACTTTGAAAACCATATGAAAAGTTATGTTTTTAAAAGGGGATTTTTATAAGTGTATAATAATAACTTATATTATATCAAGTTAGAGAAAGCTGCTTGGCTAACGGCAACATATAGGTCAATCATTCCGTTATAAGCAATATATTCCATAGATCCTGCTATACGACCGACTTGTGACAACTTTTTTCCCACCAATAGATCCGCCATTTACGTCTAGAGAGATCCCAATTCCGACGTAATTGGAGAGAAAACACGCATGCACCTGATTCGAGCGCAGCCGCCACCCAACTTGGAATTTTTAATCGAACCTTAGCAAAGCTGTAGCGGTTTTTACAGCGTGTTGCGTTAAAAGTATCGAGGTTTTCGTTTAATTTTACACTATCACTGATATAAAAACATTTGTGTCACGTCCTCCGAAAAAAAAAAAATATTGTAATTAAGTAACTAAACTCTCATGGTGATCACAAAGAAAGGAGTTGTAAAAAAGTGGGCCTTTTTTCGAAAGTCAACTATGAGGAAAACATCCATATATAAAAGATAAATGACGAAATAGAAACAAGAAACATTATTTTTTTTCTCAACCGCCATTTTGTTTTAAATTGAATTTAAAAATTTACTTTTATTCTGCAGATTTAGTTAATGAATAGCAGTGGACATTTAGTTATGACAAGGAAATATTTAACTGGATGTAAGAATGTTTGTTTCTAAGTATTTCCAAAACTTTTTATCGTATTTCGATTAAATTAGGCTCAGATGTTTAAACGTGCGTGCGTAATTAAAAAAGTACGTAAGTAAAAATTAGTTATTTTAAAAAATCTTTCTTATAAAATAAACTATTTAAGTATAAAGAAGATATTGTTAAATGTAACGCTTATTGTTAAACATAACTATTTTCCAAACTAAGATAAGCATACGCAAGACGCATTGTTGACACTGAAAGTAAAAAAAAAAATTGTCGGAATAACTTAAAAATATTTAATATTCAGTTTAGTAGACAATTAAATTTTTTAAACTAAATAAATAACCAGACGAGTAAGAGCCGCGATAAGTTAGTTAACAACAGGCAATTATTTTAGATTAACTTTATTTTACTGTTTAAAATCATTTTAGGCATATTTATAGCGGTATAACAGTAACAAAAATAATGAATTTTCCTGTTAATATGTACATACTGTGGATACATTACATGCTTTTTGTTACCTTTTGTATTTAACAACTTTAATACAAGAAAATATACAGACGAATTGAGTGCCCTTCTTTTAGGAAGTCTGTCAAAAATAAAACTGTAATATTTGGCATACAAAATTGAAAAAAAAAACAAATGTTTGTGTATTTTATTTACTAATTATTACTCTATACATTAAACTATATACATTACAAATATTACAAAAGTAAAAATATTAAAAAAAAAATAGTTTGTAATAGTAAATGAAAAAACTATAATTCTATATCTGATGTTTGTTTTACATGTAAAAAATTACTTACTTTTGTGTTTCGAGTGTGTCTTCAACATTTTTCTTATTAGTGTTGTCATTATTTTATTAATAAAAAACTTTTTAATTCACTTTATAAAAGCGGTTATCCCGCGCGAGGTCTCAGACTGACTGCGATATACGCGCGCCCTCACTTAACCACCCCGTGCTGTGACCTCCTGGTACAAAACAAGTTGATTCTGCGACTTTGCTTCCATAATTAACCACTCGAGACATTTCGAGATACTATACTTATTAATCTTGCGAGTGTTCCTTATATGATTTAGGGCCTGTCCCACCAAATTGTCAATTGTCTGATAACAATCCAATGTGTAAATATGTGATGGAAATATCGGATTTTGTTATCTCGACAGTGACGTCATTTTAAGTTATTTGAGCCTCTATCAGCCAGTGGGACATGCCCTTCATATTTAAATTAATCTCCCAGCTTGTTTCGCATCTGATCTACAATATAGTTTGTATTTTCATACATTTGTATCATCTTTCTTTAATAATTGAGCTATCAAATATAAAAGTATTTCTTAAATCTAATCTACGAGGTTAGAATATTAAAATATGACAAACTATTCAGTTTTATCGTATTAGTACATCATGAGTTTTAATGTAATCTATTCACAACCCTTTTATTGACCTTGGAGTTCATGTATAATAAATAATATGTTTAAACAATGGCCCTTCAGTAAAAATAATAACAATTGTTCTACAACGAACAATCGAATCGATTTAACAAACTCGGATATGAATCCCAAGAATATATTTATCAATATTTTCCCAAATGTCACATTGTGCTTGCCCCCTTATCTTAGTTCGAGGAAATCGGTATTGAGATATAAAAATTGACGTCCATACAATTGTGGGTTTCCACTGTGACAAAACTTGTACAAAAACATTATCGCTTTCATTGTCCTTGTAGAGTTGAATTTATTTAAATTGAGAAATCATATTTAGACAATGTTTTGTCTGAATTTATTTTAACAGAACAAACATGTTTTTACAGTCATGTGATTATGCGATTGTCTAGATATATTTGTTGTAATTTCTCATACGAATTCGATTATAAAGACGTCAACAAACACAATATACTACATTCTCGAAAACAATTATAATATACAGGATTCTGATGCAAACAGTGGCACTGTCCTGTCATGCCTGATGCAATATCGCAAGCTTTTACTCTCAAACCGACCACCCGACTTCACCGAACGCACCCTGCCTACCTTTTTTGCTGTTAAATTACAGTTATAATATTAGGGATGTGACACAAAATCGATAGTATCGATATTTTTGGTGTCAACGAACTTTGCATATTCCCGTTCTCTTTAATTTTAAAGATTCAATTATGTGTAAAGACAAGAAATTTGCTTATAATGCACGAAAATAGCCTTATTTACTTTTCAAATTAAAATAAGAAAATATTTACAAGCAGAAAAAATAAAAATGAAAACTTTTAGTATGTAGTGTGTCGATAGAAACTATCGATATTATTTATTGCACATCTCTTGATATGTCGATGCAAATTATTCCGCAACGGATAATGATATGGTCCAGTGTAATTTCCTTAATCATTTCATAGCAATTACGTACGATTCTGTGCAATTTACGCATAAAGCTTTAATGACTTTCAGTAGCATTAGAGTTAAAGATTATGAACCTCTTTAAATGTTAGCGCCTAATAAATATTACATTAACAAAACCCAATGTTAGGAAAGACTAGAATGCCTCGACATCAAAGTAACCTTAGCTCCATCTGTATGTATTATAAATAACAGGACGATTCAAATAGATCTACAACTGAACAATTTCTTTAATAAGAATCCGTTCAGTCCCAAAAAAATACTACTATATACTAGAATAACAAAAATTATTGTCAGATTTCAATAATAAGTTAAAGTTTTGCTTTATATTGAAGGCACAGTTAATTTATAAACGCCTGTAAAAATGCTATAGCAAATATGCTCAATTTTTATTTAACAGGTTTCAACTAATACACCACCACGAGTAAGACAACCAAATAATACATTTGTATCACGTTGAAGTCTTTCGTTGAAACAATATAGTTCTAAGATAAGCAATTCACTTAATTTTTTCAGAAGATCCGTTGACATTTTTATTAAAAAAAAATGAAACTGGTATTACTGGTAAATAACTAAGTTCTTTAAATAATAGAAAAGCTTGTAAAATTTACTCTATATCTTTTCATCACAACCCTATTGCTTTAGCTTAACATTGTAATATTATGTACAATAATTGTAATATTCGAATATAGTCTGATTTACTGTTATGTGAATATAAAGCAGCTTTAAAATTAGCGCAATTTTAAATTGTATTTCACGCTCAGGGACCTTTGAACAAGGTCTTTTCCGGGAACACGACAAATCCTAATGTTACTAGCATTCAACATGTTCGATTGATTTCTAACTTGTTGCTAACAAAAAGAACATGCGATATGTAATGACGGGTTTCGAAACCCTTGTATTGTTGCTTGGCTATAACTTTCATACCACTTTCACATAGACCATAGAATTTTCCTACCATACTTTTAAATAACATTGCGTTTTTTTTGACCGACTTCCCAAAAGAAGGAGGTGCTCACTTCGTCTGTATGTTTTTTTTTATATTATGTGGCAAACGAGCTAGCGCTATCTGAATTCGCCGAAAGGCATAGCGACCGCTGCCCATAGACATCCGCAATTGCAGACGCGTTGCCTACCCTTAATTGACGGAGGAAGAAACGAACATAGACAGTGTGTTTACCCCTCCTTATAGGTCTCTTCCATCATCAAATTCACTTCCCCTTCCCATTCTTTTCCTATAAGAAAATGATGGAAAGGGAAAGGCATTATAATTAGGCCTCTAGCACCACATCATTAGACGAAACACGAAATTGCTACTACTTCGGGCCTGTCTTTTGTGTGGTCGTGGTATGCACCGGCAAGCCAACCTATTCGTGCAAAGATGTTAAAGCGGGCTTTACCACTGTAAAGTAATAATAATAAATAATAATGGCGTCACAAATATATGAAAAACCCTCTATCAGATTTGTAATAGATGAACGAAATTATTATAGTTGCATATGTCAATTTTCTCATCACTTATAAAAATTAGCAGACGGAGAATACTCATTCATACAAATAAGATACTGCAAAAACCCTCCTACAATCCTCCAGTCCTACACAATCGGTCGTGTCAAAGATACGTACAAAAACGTGTGCCCACAGACCATTCACGAGATGGTATGCGTGTGCGCAAGCCACCTCACTCTGAGTAACTAAAATACGATTACGTACATGGCTTCGGTCACGCATACAACTAACTTGACCCAAAATCCCCACCGATAGCTTCCATTTCAATGCCCAAAAAAGGCTTTCGATTTCAATTATAGATCCCGAATCATTTTATTATCCAACGACATACTGTCTATAAATAAAAATTAAATCAAAATAAGAAAAACGTTGTTTATTAAAATTTCAATATGTTGAAATTAAAATAAAATTATGAATAACACTTAATTATATAAAAATTTCGAAATTCGACATTATTTCATCTAACAGTATCATAACATCCATATTTGGGATATCACACTTTTGCTTATTTTAATTAATAGAATACAATAGAAAAAATAATGCATACATAAATGAAAACAAAATACACAAGAGATGAATTAATATGAAATAATAAGTACGGTAATTTTAATTTACCTTTAAAAAACTAAAAAGGAATACTCGTGAATACTGATCTGCTTCCTTAAGCATAACAGCCGATTTCCACAAAGTATTGGGAGAACAAGAGCATTAAAGTTAAATTAAAAGGTTTAGTTGGAAATTATTACAACTAACAGAATGTGTATAATTTGGATTTACTACAAAATTATTCTATAGATAGCTCTTGTATTGGACATAAATTGGTTTTGGTATTTTAACTCGAGTTAATTAAGTTTTTATATTCAAGTAAAATTGTACATTATGATGAATTAATTACAAATATTATAATACATAAGGCATTGTCAATTACTCACTATTTTATGTAAGTTGTAATAATTGAATATAGGATATATACTTTACAATAAAAAACCTTACCAAAAAATCCATAGACATGTTCATCGGTAGACATAGCTCATAGTAACATGGCAAAAAGTCTATGTCCATTCTTTAACATCTCTTACTCAATGTTATATAAGTTATGTAATTTATATTAGTTTAGTTAACTTTCTAAGTATATAAGAGATTGCTTCATTTAAATTACTTAAATATAAATGTACATAAACATAATGTTATGTACATTGTCTCTTTATTGCTGTTTACTTCTCTATTTGTTTTTTAAAACAAAAATTGTCGCAATTGTTGCAATCAGAGCTTTTCATAAAATTGCTGAATATATATGTTAGATATTAAAATAATTAAACTTGTTTATTCATATCTTAATTTAATTAACAAGTACTTGATTTATTTGCGACAAATACAAAAATATATTCCAATACTTTAGAATTACATGTATTTATTTAATATTGTGAAACTAAAAAATTGTTTTGGCAGTTTTACATTTACTTACTACAGCTACAAATTAAGATATATATTTTGTAATATATTATCACAGATATTTGACAACATAAAACAAAATAATAACACATATGATTGAAAAAAAAATTGATTATGAAAAGAAAAATACATAAATAGTAAAAACTTTATTTATACAAAGTTTAGCACTTCATTAACATTTATACTGGAATGAGGTAAAATCTTTTCCCGATAGATGAAATTTACATAACTTGACCATATAACCATCCCTTAGAAGTGTTCATTTATTTCATCTCAAATATATTGTGACTCCTTAATTTATATATTCTTTGTTTCTTATTTACAAGTCATAACTATTGTATTAACTATTCTCTCTCATTTCAGTCAGTTTGCTTTTCATTTTAAAACATTAATCAACCAAAAAATACTAAATATGTTAGTTAAATTAAATGCTAAATATTTGTCTCCATTAGATTAACGGTTAAAACAATTCTTTCAAATTCACAGAAGGTGAAATAAAATACTATAAATAATTAAATAAATCTTAATTATCCATATGCTTATTTATAAAACTAATTATAATTTAGGCAGTCACTTCACCTCTGACTTCACAGGCATAGTCTTTTCTGCAGTTTTACTTGCGGAAGGTTTAGATGTGGATCATTTTTTCTTCCGATCCTGTGTACATTTAGGACAATACCATTTGCCTTTAGGCTTTATTTTAAGATCGACACAAGCAAAATGGAACCACTCTATGGGACAATCAGGGTTGTCACACCCTATCATCTCACCGTATGACACTTGGTGACAGAGGCAGTAGGTCGGCTCATTAGGGTCTACTGGCATGTCGAGCACATCACTCGGATGCGCCATGCCAGCGACGGAGTCCAGGTCTGCATTTTCTTCTTGTTCCTTGACAGCATTTGTAGCAGTCGTCGCACCTTTCCTCTGTACTTTCTTCTTTGCTGCCGATCTTCCATTCGCTACTGCGTCATCCTCACTCGAAGCGCCCGCACGTTTTTTCTTACCTGTAGACGCAGCTGTCTTTTCGTTAGCCTTATGCTTCTTTCTGCCCTTCTTTACAGTAGTGGTGTTAGTTTCCGGGTCCGTGCCAGGTTGCGCGGTCCGAGAGCTCATTACTTTCTCTTGAATTTCAGTTTCGAAGCGTGCGAGGTCAGAGTCAAGGCGCCGTATGTGCTTATCAACCAACTCGTACGTCTGAATTGCGAGTTGCACTTTATCGTCCCCATACTCCTTTGCTTTATTAAATAATCCCTGAATTGTGTTCACCTTTTCTTTTTTTGTTTCGTCGTCCATTTTTGGAATATTCGGCAATAATTCGTCGGCCATAAGATCGATTGTCCTCATTAGTCCATGAGCTCGGTCATCGAGATCACGCATCAATTTAAAATTTCTTTGTAATTCTATAGGCAAATGTTGAAGACTATCTAAATAATGTTCCAAATAAAGTGCTGAAGTCATTTTGCAATATTTTGTAACGACTCCACTTTATAAAACACAACTGCGATCGCAAACAGAATAAAAACCAAACTTGAAACCGTTCAATATGTTTTTGCTATTTTAATAGTTTTACTTTAAATCACTGCATTATAACTATTTTGCAAGAATTTTCATTAATAAAAAATCAAAGGTAACTTTTTTAATTTATCACCAAGTATAATACAAGCGCGATAGCAACAGCAAGCAGAGAGCACGAACAAATTATATTACGTTCCATTACACAGATTTCAAAGTTATATTGTACGGTTACAAATTACAACAGTTATTTTTCTCTTGAAAGGAAATCAAAACATTTTAATTTTACCCGAACAAATTATTTTTACATACAATCTAACCTTTGACAATTCAATTTGGTATTTAACATATAAACATTATTGCGGTAATTCTAAAAATAAATTTTGCAAGAAACAACGTTCCGTGACTTGAATAAATGCGCGGGAATCTTTAAATGTCAGATGCTCCATAACTCGTTACTCAAAGACTATAATGCCTGGTTTAAATTTGGTCAATACAGCTGGAAAGTGACGCTTGCCTGGCATGGATTACATGGGCTTGCGAGCGGCAGCTAGTATTTCTATCATGCCAGTTCTGATTTTAGCGCTACTGGTCTACATAACTCATAACGTAAACCACGCATAAACTATAAAGAACTATGAGTTGGCAGTAGCAAATCATTCACAAAAACATCTTACTCACTCGTAATAAGTTTTATTATTTGGGTGATGATCGCGGTTACAATTTTTAATTAAAAACACTTTTCACACTAGCACAACTAATATAAATTATAATTCTAAATATCTAATATAAATATCGTAGTCTTTTTTTGTCAAAAAATTCAGTTTTCAGAAATTCTTTAAATGCAATTAACGTAGAAAATGTAATGGGGGCTCACTCTTGCAAAAATTGCATGAGCGCAAACATTTATTTAGGAATTTTTAAATGTCATTACTGGCAACTAGTCTTGGGCTTAATCGGACATCCGCAAGTGGGCACCGTACTAGTACAATTGTGAAAACGTACTAGTACACACTTTTAGTACCTTTAGTACTTCAGATTTGTGAGAACACAATAACATGAATAGAATAAACGAGGGTAATAGATTGCTACACATCAAATTTTAAGCAGGGTCAAACATATTTATGTATGTTATTAGCGAAAACAAATTTAAGTTATAAATTACTTTATCCACTTTTGATTCTTATTACCGAAGGTGGATGCTTCAATCTAGCGAGTATACAATTAAATCAAACAACGAAAAAGCGAACACCGATATCGTGTAGTGTACTAAGAGTACTAAATGTCCGATTAACAGAAGCCGTTCGTTAACATTACTTTTAGTGCAGCAGAGCCGAGTAACATTCCTTTTTAGTACATCGTACATGTACTACCCAAGACTACTGGCAACTCTGCCAGGAGTTATGCGGTTATTCCTTGAATACTCTCATATTTAAATCTAATGAATAGGTTTCCATAAATGAAACAAATGTTTTATTTTTTTTATTGTATTAGCAAATAAACAAGTTATAAAATATTTTCTTAATAGAAGTGACATGACGCTATATTCCGCAACACAAAGCATATTTACGAATTACAATTTATTAATAACGCACATTATAAAGAATATGCTTTGTAAGAGTAAAAAAACACCCTTGTCTACTTCCATTCTTTAAAAATCTATGTACTGAAAGATTCTTGCAATTTTAATAATTGTTACCATAATTATAATAAGAACTAACAAAGTTATTCCTTTATAAAATTTAATGGACTATCATGAAATTTCAGCGGTTACAACAACTCGATTCAGATATATTAACATTAAAAAAGTCATAAACATTTAAAATCAAAAAATGCAAATAAATAATCAGCGTTTGCCTGTCGTGGCAAAATAAAGAGGCGTTTACACAATCTACATAATATAAAACATGCTTTATTTATCTCTTACAGCTATAATTTACATTTCTTAGCGCTAATCACCATCATACGCGAATAAAACTACTATGCTACATTGCTTGCTGCTCGTACATAACACACTGATCAATATCGAAGATTTTAATACACATATAGGCCCATTTGAAATACAAACACATATTATTAATTAATTTGTTCAATGAAAACACACACAAAATTAAATCTCCAAAACTCTTTCATTTGTCTATAAAATAAAACTGGTTTGTTGTTTACACAATTTGCATTTATATGACAAGTGGCATATCACATACAGCTGCTTGTGGAACGGTCTGTCCTCGACGGTATTTCCAAACCAATACGAGTTAGGGTCCTTCAAGAAGCGAACCTACAATTTCCTCAAAGGCCGGCAACGCATCTGTAGTTCCTCTGGTGTTGCGGATGTCCATGGGCGTCGTTGACTACCTCTGTTTCCGCCGCTCGTTTGCCCCCTTCTCATATAAAAAATCATACTATGTAACCACTGATCTTTACAAATGGATAGGTTATTACTTGGAAATGACAGCTTTTACTTCACTCCGACTAAAACTGTTGATGTTAATGACAGTTTATTGTATCTCTATTATTAATTTAATTCCTATCTATTTACTAGAGATCAATGTATGGTTACATTTATATTTGCACATATTGTCTCGGTTTTCTCTAAGAGAATGAAAGGGACGAGTATAAATCGATATCCATAAAAACAAAGACAGGTTTTGTTGTGTTCAAAAGTAAATGACCTATTTATGTATTAAAACCTTGTTACAAATAATACATTTAAAGATGAGTAAATTGCATGATTTAACTTATATTTGGAGACTCTTGGGTCAATTAGTTTCAAGGTAAAGAGAAACTTTTATATACATTAGTGGTTAAATGTTACTTATGTTGTTAAACCAGAATTACTTGTGATGACCAGAGTACCTACTTCGGACATAACACATTCAATGCTACGAATTTCATTCAACTCGAAGGGAGGCAGTGAAGGTGTTAAATAGATTTTCACACTTAAAATGAAGGAATAACTTAACTCTATATATAGATTATACATCTACATTCAAAAATTTGGTACATGTTCGTTGCTCCTTTTAAATATTTGCTTAACATTATGCAAAATAGTTGCTTCAACTTTCAGCAACTAAATTGGAATGAATAAAACGCAAACGTTTTTTTAACCATAGCTACTGTTTATAAAGTAAAAAAAAATAGAAAAATAAGAGTATGTCAATGTTTCTGATTTCTTAGATGAATACGTAATGGAAGCTAAGGATTATGTGATATACAATTGGCACTACATATGCAGTTCACATATGAAATTACAAAAACAGTATTCTTATTTACTATGTATATCTATTTAGATCTAGTAGACAATCCCGTGGTATTACTTTCATCTAAAATACATGTGATTTAAATTAGGACATAGATTTAAATACATAGACAGGCCATTGGGAATACATGGAATGTATGTAAAATGCTAATTTAATATTATAGTATACAAACATTCAACACACAATCATATCAATGAGTGGAAAATGATTTTTTTCCCATTAATATAAAAAAAATAGCAATGAGAGTTACTTATGAAAATGCGTTTATTATAAAAATGCATTAATTTTACATATGTGTAAATTTAGAAAAAGGCAGATCTATGTATTGAAACCTTTAAAGTTAACTGTGAAATTCCACTTAGTAACATTTATATTGAAACATATTTTTTAATCTGTTTAAAATCGACAAAAATATGTTTTACACATGTTTTCAATTGGAAACCCACACTAAGGAATACTTTCTCGGCAATATAGTCAAAATGTCACCAAAAGGACAATAAACCATTCAATTCAATCATAGACTAGCAACTTTAATAAAGCATAAAGTATTCCATTGTTAAAACGCATTATAACATATCAATTTAAAATATAAAATCTCAAAAACAGTATTTCACAACCGCTAATGAAGAGACTGTTCTCAAGACAAACATAATTCCAACAAGCGAAGCACCATTCAATAGATTGTGCTTAGGTGGGTCTAGATTCAATATGAAAATAGCTATGATAGATAAAACATAATTGACTTAATTATAAACGTAGGCGTACCGAAATACTAGTACAAAGGCATTTGTATGAGATATTTGGTAGTGAAAGCCCACTGTAAGTCATACAAAGACCATTCATAAGTGACAAATAAAATACATATGCCAACATTTATAGGTTATAAAATGGGAGTAGATACTTAACTACATCTATATCTCGTACTACTGGTTTATCGTTATTTTTGGTACATCCAAACATGCCTAAACTCATCCACTTCAAACGTTCATAAGCCATAAACCACTGCTCAAACAATAAATATTAATAGCATATAAATACATCAAACTTATGTGAATGTATGACATGTATTATTCCATGCACTGCACCATTAAACACACACACAATTGCCCCGTCCGTGTACACTATCACAATTCACTGTGCATGGAATAGGGCGGGCTAAAACACTATACGAGGGTTTCGTATTTATCCAGGACGTGGCATTGATTATTCTCATCACTGTGTGAACGAGAGCGCGGACGAGGGTTCGCCTCCGCACCAGCGCTCTTAGCTCGCGTCTTCTTATCATGACCACAAGTACAAGCAACTGATGATTGACGTTTCAATGTCTGTGATCTAGTTCCCGCCCACTGCGGATCACAGGACTCGCTTCTAACGTACATCTGACGTTTATTCCTTCCCATAGTGGCGTGCGAAAAGGACGCACTCTGTCCACTATCGGAAGATGGACGCATCGATTCACTCCTCCCGCATAAAGTCCCCCCGGCTCTACGGAACGAATCTAATACTCTCTCCTCGATTTCCTCTATATCTTTTTTCTTAACCAGCCATATTTCTTCAGAGCCCCGTGTGAAGTAGCTGGATCCTTTACTAACGGCGTATTTCTCTTTGTTTTTAAATTTGCATGTTTTAAAATTATTCTGTGTGTCTTCGTTGATCTTGTGTATGTCTCTAGCGCGGGCTGTGTCGAGCGGCGCCACGTTACGGAAGGCGGTGCCCTGCGACGGGAACTGTTCGGGAATTTTAATTCCTAGACTAGGCGACCTGATGGTCACATCGACAGGAGATGGCATCGGTTTGAATTCCGGTTTTATTATCTTTTGGGGTTCCGGTTTCTGTAAGACTTTATCACCTTCAATAGAATTGCTTTCACTTTTCTGCCATTTTAGTAAATTAACCGAGTTTCTAGTTATACTGTGCTGGCGCTCTAGGGTTGTATGATTCCCTTCTGTTGGCGTGTTTTTCCCACTTTGTGCACTCAGCTCAAAGAATACATTATCTTTGAATGGCGTTGCTGGCGGTGGGAACTCCTCTTTACTATCAGAACCGAGGCGCTCGGTCCTAGGTCTCCCGCGCACCGAGCCCGGTCTAGACAATTTACCTACATTAGCACTTGCATCTTCTGCCGCCTTCTCGAACTTTCTAATTTTATCCCCGACCCCATTTGACTCTTCCAATTTATTTGCATTGTCATTATTTTTATTTTCAACATCTGAATTTTCTACAGTTGTCTTCACAGTTTCATTAAGCGGGGCAATAGATATATTTTCTGTTTTAATATGACTTTCCTTGACTTCTATGGCATCATTTTTTATCACTTTAAGTGGAATGCTATTTGCCTCAGTTTTTGAATCACTTCTGTTTAACTTAAATGCGGGAGGCGATGTAACGATTTCTTTCTTTGTAGGTAATGAATGTTCTTTCTTTAAAATAGGGGACACTTCACTAACTGAAGTGGATGACGATGTTTTCAATTGTAACGGCTCATTCTTTAAAATCGGCGATTCTCTCTTGAATGGCGGAGAAGTGAGAGCTTTAAATACAGGAGATTCCTTCAGGTTGGCATCGGCCTTTAATGGAGGAGGTACCTTCTTTGGTGGCGTTGCACTTTTGGGTGGCGAAGCACTCTTCGGTGGTGACGCACTTTTTGGTGGCGATGCAGTTTTTGGTGGCGATGCAGTTTTTGGTGGCGATACAGTTTTTGGTGGCGATACGCTTTTCGGTGGCGATTCGTTTTTCGGTAGCGAAGCGCTTTTTGGTGGCGACCCACTTTTTGGTGGCCATACGCCTTTCGGTGGCGACGCCTTTAATGGCGACATACTTTTGGGCGGAGAAGAACTTTCTTTCTCCGTCTTTACATTTTTAGCGGGTGGCGAAATAACTCGCTTTAAATTCTCCTTTGCCTTCTTCGCCTCGATATCCTTACTGAGGAATGAGGAATTTCGTACATAACATTCGTCTGTTTTCTGCTCGTCGTCCGTTTGCTCGCGTGCCGTGTTCTGTTCGTTTTCCTTGATTTTGATGGGTACATGTTCGCCGGTGTGTGGGGGGTGTTGGGGGTGCGGGTCCGGTGGGCGGGGGTCGGGGGGCGGCGTGGGCGGGGGTCGCGCGGGCTCGCGGCGCGGCGAGGCGCGGCGTCACGCTCGCGGCTCAGTCCACTGGTCGGAGTCGTCAGAGTCGGAGTCAGCGCCGGAGCTGGTGTCGCTGAGCTCGACGGCGACGCGGCGCGCTAGGATCGATGCCACGTCGAGGAATGCGGGCGCGCCGCGCAGCGTGTCGTACCGCCCGGTGTTCTCGTCGCACCGCTTTTCTACTTTGCGTAGTTTGATACCTATTACGAAAACAAATAATTGCATCAATATACCAAAAAATAAAATTATTTACTTTTGTTTCGTCAATTTTTGACAAAGATATATTCGCAAGGGCGGCCTCAGCTTCACGGCTCTCGATGAATTTTGGCACACATGTTGGAACAAAACACAAAGGCTACTTACTAAGTTTTCTATACCGCGTGAAAGTTGCAGACAAAAGTTAGTTACAAACTAAATGTTAACAATAATTTGAAAACTAAAGGTACAACCGTCGATCACATCTTCACTTAAGTGTAAGTGGGATCGTGGTCAAACGCTGGTTGATATATAATAATAAAAAAAAAACCCGTAGAGCCACTGTATATCATATAAGCATTTAAGTAATATGTTACCATCTCTAATGGCCTTGAGTAGATCAGAGCGCGGGTCCGCGTGCGGCGCGGCGGGCGGGCGCGGCTTGAGTGCGGAGGCGCCGCGCAGCAGGGCGGCGGGCGAGGGCGGGCGCGGCCGGTCGCCGGGCGCGGGGGGCGCGGGCGGAGGCGCGGGGGGCGACGGCGCCGGCGGCGGCGGGGGGCTCATCGGCTCCTCCGTAGACATCAGCCCTGGATTAATTTAAAATAATATTAATAATCAATGTACATGCCGCCAAATCGAACGAAATAATTATTTCGTAAATTTTAGTATTACAAAACATATCTATAAAGATTTTTTAAATGCTTTAGTAGCGAATTTTAATCATAAAAACTTATTTTTTTAAAATTCCCTCGTCGAGTTCTAAAACGTAACGCTATTGGTCGAAGCAAGTTATGGCCGAGTTTAATCACTTTTTGATTTTTGATAACTTTGAGAACTTTTGTTGTTGCGTGACGACGTCACAACACTCCGGTCGCATTTTGGCCGGACGAGAATGATTGTGATTGTATTTTATTTCTTTTAGGTCAATGGTTGGTTTGTTTCAAATAATTTTTTTTGTTATCTTATAACAAGTAGAAACGATTATTTTCCATATTGTATTTTATAACGGTTTCAAACTTACCTATAACAGCATGCATCTGATCGAGATGTGCGTCGAGCGCGGTGCGGTGCGGAGGCGAGGCTCCGTTGATCATTGGCGGGGGCGAAGCGCCCTCGGGCGGCGGCGGCGGAGGAGGTAACGCCGACCTGGTCGTACATATGAAATATTAGAATCACCTAACGAATCAACTATCACTACTAGTGCTTCCACTAAAATTGTTACTATTGTTAGACATTCATATATTTGTTAATTAACTCAAAAACTCAGACCACCAACTCCTGTCAGAATGGCGCACTATTCTAGGTCTGAATGACATTGACAGATGTCATATTTTCTTTGCACTATTAAAACCCCTTTCTCTTACCACCCTTTTCTTATAAGGGCTAGATGGTAAGGAAAAGTAGATTTGGCGGCGGAAACGCATAGGTAGGGGAAATATCCTCTTTATGTGCGTCTCCTCCTTCGTTTAAGGGTAGGCAACGTCTGCAATTGCGGATGTCTATGGGCAGCGGTCGCTACGCTATTTTGTAGGATTGTCGCTTGCTAGCTTGCCACCTCATATTATAAAGAAACTATAATGTAGTGTTGGTTTACCTCGTGGGTGTGAGATGTGCGGGCTCGTCTGGCGGGGGTGCGGGGGGTGCTGGGGGCGGCACGGAGGGTCGCGCGCGGCGCGGCGTGCCCGCGATGCTGCCGCCGTAGATCGGCTCCGCGGTCCCGTATGGACTCTCTTCAGCCACCACTGCAATAACACAAGTTAAACGTCCGATATTTTTTTTAAACACGCTTATTTATTTTTGCATGTCTACAAATAATAAGAATGAAAAAAATCACCTATTTGACTTCTTTAATTTACAACCAAGCTCAATTTTAATCAATGTTAAATATTACCTCTTAATTTTTTTAAAAAACTTACTTCTTAATTCTGAGTGTAATATTAAGTACTTGTTTTTTATTCTTCTCTTCTGTACAACTACGCATTCTCCTATTTTAGGGCGCATTGAAAACCGACGGTTTGATATACAATGCAACACATGCCGAATGAATTCTTTCTTACGAATAAATGAATTTCTTCCTTTCTTAATAATTGAAATTCGTTGTACTAACCATGTCCATTGCCGGTGAGACGAGGCTGCCTGTTCTGTTGGTTCTCAATCTCAATGGAGTTAGGTCTGGCAGGCTGCGAGGTTGGCGGCCGGCTCTGCGGCGCTCTGTACCCGCCGTCCGTCACATTCGTAGCTGGAATATATTAATGCTAAAATTCACAAGCTATATACAAGAGCGAAAGAAAATAATGGTTTGAACAGACCTATCATAGAATAAAAATAAATTTAATTTCAAACAAATTACAACTTGGTAATTACACATTTACGTGTTTTTAAAACATTTTTAAATTCACTTACAACTAAGTATTGTTTTTAACTGTTAATAATTTCATGTTTCTGTACTTCCAAGAACATAAGAGTTTCATAACAATGAAAAAAATATTCTGTTGAATATAAGAGTAAAAATAGTCAAATTCCAGCATGTTCTCTCCTCTTCTATGAAAGTTCCACTTCTATATAGCAGAGAATTATAGATTTAGGTTGATAGGTCCCTGGAATATACATGGAAGTAGATATAACAGTAAAATAAGTGTAAATCTACTAATATTATAAATGCGAAAGTTTAGATGGATGGATGGATGTTTGTTAGTTTGTAGCCTAAACGTCTGAACGTATCTCAATGAAATTTGGCATAGACGTAGAGCATAGTCTGGAAGAACACATAGACTTCTAACGTTTTTTTTTTTTATACCACGCGGACGGAGTCGCGGGCGAAAGCTAGTAGTTAATATTACATACTCTGATACAACGGTTCCCGGTAGTGCGTCTCTATGTTGTAGTGCCGCAGCTGGCTGGGCGCCATGATGTGCTCGCCGCGCGTCACCGCCTCCGCCTTCTGGCGCTCGCGCGTCGAGTGCGGCGTGCGCACGCGCCGCGTGCTGCGCCCGTCCGCGTTGCCACTGCGCGGCTGCCGCACCTGCACACAATATACTAAGTACTTAGCCATATTTTATAAGAATGGACTTATTAAACAAAATATTGAGGAAAATGTAACTTTAAACTTTCGTGGTTTTTGCAAACATAATGCTATCATCATCTCCCCTGCCTTATCCTACTCCCGTAGGGTCGGTGCACCGGGTTTTCGTCCTCCAAAGCATTCTATCATCCGTCATCTCAGTCATCACTCCCTTCTTGATCATGTCACCTTTCACGCAATCCATCCATCTCTTTCTAGGTCTACCTCTACTGATGTACCCCTCCACATTCATAACTAACATCCTTCTTGTTACATCTGATTCATCCCTACTCAACAAACATAATGCTATGTTGATTTTAAATTGTAATAGGATCAAGATATAGCAACATATACTGTTTTGACTGGTAAGTACTGAAGATTGTTAACTCATACCTTCTTCCCCCTATCGTGCTGTATACGTTCGGTATCTTGCAACATTTCCCGTCGCCACAGTTCAAAGAAGTAATCCGGATCTGTGTAGAATTTGCGAGCATCGCGGCCATCGTCGCGGAATTCGTTCAGTTTCTCAAGCGGCGGCGGGCGGTCGCAGCGCGCGTACGTCGCCAGCATCGCTGACGGCATCGAGCCGCGAGAAAACAGCTGCTGTTGGAATGTTCGAGACGAACGGAACGCCTTGCGCATTTGTATGTCTTGTAGTGATACTGGAATAATCGTTTTAATATTAAAATATTGTAATTTAATTTTTCTTAAACATTGAAACGGATAGTAAACTAAACATAGATTAATATATTTTTTCTAAATAGTTTATTACGTATAGAAGAAAAGACTGATGGATAAATGCATTTATCTTAAGGGTGAATTAGTTAGGCGGCTATAGGAGTTGCCTTATTTCGCAAGCTACAAACATAGCGATGAAATAACTCAAGTATTTTTGTTGATTTATTAATATTTCTTGTACCATTCAAACAAAACTTTAGACTTGTGCCAGTGTATGGTTTGAAACAGTCGGAATTCGAAACCTCGACCACATGATCAGAAATCCCTACTAACCATCAGGCTAATGGCATTTCTATACTTGGCTTTCGTTTTATATCTGATACCAACCTTCCTCTACGCCCGAGTCTAATTGCGTGACCTTGATAGCCAGCCGGTCTATCCTGGCCTGCAATATATTCGTCCTCTCCGCTAGATCTGTTGCTTCCCGCGTCAGCTCTCCAAACATATCCTCCGCATGTTTCGAAAGTGAAGACAACTGCCTGTAAATTGTCAAACATGCAAATTATTTCCTCGTCTAATATAATGTTACATATTTATCATATTTCATACTCCATACTAATATTATTAAAGCGAAAGTTTAGATGGATGGATGTTTGTTAAAGTTTGTAGGATTAAGATGAAATTTGATATAGATGTAGAGGATAGTCTGGAAGAACACATAGACTATTCACTTTTGTTTTTTTCTATTCCGCGC